GCAACTAGACGAGGAACGCATCATGTTGACATGACCAAATCTCAACTCAATCCCTAATTCGTACGTGCTCATACATTAAGGGTACATTAAATAATGAAATGCGTATAATATAATTACATAACATTAACAAGTACAACGATAGAAATTATAAATTATTTACAATACCATTAAAATGTTAATCGACACCCCAATTCAAAATTAAAAAAAACTCGTTACGTTTATGTCACGCATGAGCCCCTTTTTGGAGGAACTGGCTACATCCTTACTATTTTAACCCTTTTCTCGTTATAATATGGAAATAACAATGAGGTGAGCCGAAGCTCGGTAAATGGGATGATGCATGTGATATACAATGCTTTTCGGACTTCCCCACCATAGTCATAAATTTTAATTTCAAGTACCCCGGGTATTGGCAAATCTCCTCTATTGATGATTACTCGAATCACCTAATTCTAATAACAAAATTATCCCTCATTATAGCTACCGTTAGCGGGAATTCATCGCCTAACAGTGTAGCCACACGGATTAGAGCATGCACACGACTGGAACACTAATATCCATTTATTCCAACTATGTTACCAAACCTAATCATGTAAACCAATTCTCAATCAATTGACTTTTCTCAACTCGCCCCACAATGTACATGATGCACATGATATTACGTTTACCGTATTAAATATATCCAACCTATACAGGGTTCGGTTTCATATATTTTCATAGGTCCAACCCACATAGGATTTCGAGTATTCGCATATCCCTTATCATAATGTTCACCTCGTTAGAGTCAAATACCGATGAATGGTATTGGTCGAGTCTTGGATCTAATTGTGCACGTGAATACTTCCTTTTTGTTTCCTTTAGTAAATCTTGTCATTAAATCGTTCCACACTTGAATTGCATAGTTATTTGCATTTGGATTGATTTCAACATGTTAAGGTATAATGTTACCTTCTAGCCCGATTTTAACACTTTTAGACCGAATTTAGTTCATAAATCCGAATTTAGTTCTTAAGTCAAAATCTCAATTTCTTTGGTAAGCTTACCTTTCTAATTTCAATTTTATTCCTACTTGGACCTAATTGAACCATTACTTATCAAATTAATTTAATGGAACCCAAAACCTCATTTTTCCTAAGTTTGGGCCGAATGGGTCTCTTAATTTTTGCAAGAAATGTTCTTTGGTTTTATATGGAGTTTCCTTTTTTTTTTTTTTTTTTCAAAATGACTAATCAAACCTAATTTGTTCACCATTAAAATTTAAGTCCTTAAGTATAAAAAAGGTTCCATCTTTCCCATTTTGGTTGAAAGTCACCTTAGGAAAAACCCTAAAATTCAATTTTTCTTCCTTCCTATTCTACTTTGTCCAAGTTCATATCAATCCTAGTTTAGTCCACCAAGTTTCGGTCAAGCCCCAATTCTTTCAATCAAACCTATCAACACACAAACATAGCCATGCACAAGGCTTTCCAAACTTAACAAGCAACATATCAACCATTCCTTACATATTGCATAATAACCAATAATTATATGCCAAGCCATCCAACACAATACCAACACAACATAATCAAAAGCTTAATCAATTACATAAATTAACATTTAAAAATCAAATAGATGGCATAGATAAAAATCCACTTACTTAGTTTAGGCTTGTTAAGGATTTCCCTAGCTTTTCCCTTTTCTTTTTCTCCTTTCTTTATTTCCTTTCTTTTTCTCTCTTTCTTTTCGTGTTTCTTTTCCTCTCAATGACATTTTTTTTTCTTTTGGGTGAGCTATGGATTTTACTAAATAAATGGCTAAGTTCCATTCTTTCCTTATATATATATATATATATATATATATATATCTCCATTTGCCTTTATTACTTAGTATGCCACATGTCCTTAATTAAGTTGTCCAAGTATAAAGTAAAGGAAGACTTTGGAAGGTAAGGTGGCAATTTGAAAGTCAAAGGTGATGATTTGTCATCAATTACATTAAATGAAGTGCTTAGGTGTCTAGTTAGTTGTGAAAGATGATCATTAAGCTAACTAAATCCTTAGGCTAGTTTAGCTCAAGTAACATGACATTTCTTTCCTAGAAAAATTCGGCAATTCCTCCCTAAATAATTAATTCGACAATTTCCTTTTCAAAAATTTTCCAACATTCCTCACATTTTAAAATACCTTTCTCACTTGTATAATAGGTTCCATATATATACTAGAGAAAATGAACGATAATTAGCTAAATCACCTAAAAATTCATTCCCTAATAAAATCACCAAAACATTAAAATGCCACATAAATCACACCCTTGCTCGGTGTATTTACGTACGAATATCCTTGTATGTTTATCTATATGGTTAAGGACTTTACACGAGTTACATTATTCAGTTCTACAAGAATATGCAAAAACATTGAGCAATAACACCTTCACATAGCTTTTTTTTTTTAACCATTTAAAAATCATGCACTTCTTATTTTGGATCTATATATCTAATCAAAGATTTGTCTATTTAATCTTTTCATGTCCTATAATAGACTGTAAAGAGAAACTCAAATCATCTCTGTTCAGTATCGAATGAATAGGAGGTAATGATTATATGATAGCATTGTTTAAAGGCAAAACCATTAAGGAGCTAAAGAAGATGGATCTTGTGTCTCACGTTGTAAAAGCCAATGAAGAAGGTGTAAGAGTAAGTTAATTAACATAGTATAACTCAATTTGTTCTTATATAATACTTTGAATCTCTATGTTTTTAGATTTTTAATTGCATTTTATATATCTCTAAAATATTTTGAGATGTTCAATATTTCTTTTAATCAATTTATTATAGATAAATTTTTTTAACCCAAATGCCCTTTGCTAAAATGAAAAGAAAAACACTTAAAGTCTCATGATCTATATGTTCTATTTTTGAAGTTTTTATAATTATTTTTTTGCACTTCACTCAAGGGTATTTAGATTTAAAAAAAATTTCACGGTGGGAAAAAATAAATCAAAATGACAAATTGAATATTTTAAAAAATTTTAAAGGCAAGTGGATGCAATTAAAAAATCTAAAAACAATTGAAAGACTCATAATATTATATAAAGACATATTGAACTATTTATCCTAATTAACATGATGCATCATGCCTCGTAAAATGAGTCTGTTTAATAATATTAATTCTCTTCTAATTAATTTCCAATTTAGTTGGCTAACAAAATTTTTGATTCTCCTATTTTTACTTTTATTACTACATTGTTGATTGATTATCTAGAAAATCATCGGTTATAGTGCAAGACAAGTGCTTGTCACTGGATTCCCACACATAAAATGTCTGCCGAGTTTTCTTACAATGTGCACGAATTCTTCCGATGCTCGTGATCGATTTGGTTGTCTGAAAGATTACAATCACTTCATCAAGCATCTCAATGATCGTCTCAAAAAATCCACTTCAAGATTGAGAAAGAAAAACCCTGATGTGCATATAATATATGGTGATATTTATGCTGCTGCGCAATCAGTTTTGGATAATCACCAAAAACTTGGTAAGTATATATAAATATATAAATCTTTCCACACCCTAAGAGATATTGAGAAATAAATGTAATAATGAAATCGTTACTTCTTTGATTTGTATAATGTAGGGTTTGAATCGGTATCAGTAGCTTGTTGCGGCACCGGAGGAAAATATAATTTCGATAATGGAGAAGTGTGGAACTAAGGATGTACAGTCATTTTCAGATCCTCGAAAGTATATCTATTGGGATGGACCCCATATGACCCAGGAAGCATATAAGGACATTGCAAAGTGGCTTATTCAAAACGTCCTTCCAAAATTCGGATGCTAAAGTTCAAATCTGTTCAAAAACTGTCCTGAATTGTCCGTTTTGTGGTATTCTAGTTCTTTTCTTTTATTTCACATGATGTTGGACTAAATGATGTACGTACAGTATGAAAGAAAGATTGCAGATTTGAGTTAATCCTAAGATATGTTCTTCTTATTTTTCTTCTTCTTTTGATGTTGAATTCTCGAACTACTACGCCATCAATGGCAAAATGAATCAAATATTTGAAGAGAAATATAACCATAAACATGAAAAAGATATCCAATTCACCAATAAGATTTTTATCATATATAAGTACTTTTTCAACTCTGATAGAGATTTTAAAAATTAAAAGAAAGTAGAGATACTGGCAATTCAGAAACCTTGAAAAGTATTATGACTTCTCCTTTAGCTAAACAAGTCTATTGAGTTATAGAGTCAAATTTGGCCAATGCTACAGTTTGGATACACAAAGCATCAGTTGCTAGATTCTGAAAACTTGAGGATATTTTTAATAATATCTAATTGGATATTGTATTTAAAATTTGTTTCTTTCTTTTATTTTCAAAGAGAAAAGAATTACGTAGCTGATTCTTTAGTTTGGTTATAACTTTTTTCTTACCTACATCCCTCTAGTTTATGTCTATATGTAACATAATCTTTGACTTCATTAAAAAAAAAAAAAAACCTTTGCAAGAACGGAAATATGACCCATTACTTGTCTTAAAAGTTTCCTTCGGTTTTGTTCGTTTTTCTTCCTTTTTTCGTGGATGTGTTGAGCCATGCCATTAACGCAAGACAAGATCAATCAAAGATTAGCAGTGAAACATAATATATGCCTTGTACGGTAATTAGAAACATGAACAAGATATCCAATTTGCCAATACAACTTTATAATTGAGGCAAGTGACCGCAGTCACCATTGCAATGATACATATAATTCCTAGTCCATAACAGACTGCGGTTATTATCCACAAGGAGCCACGAAAAAGAAGAAGAAAATACAATTCTTGAAGCATGTGAAGGCATGATCAAGTTATTACTAAAATAAAAAAGAAGTCCAACAAGCATCCACCAATCCTGCAAATAAGCATAAGAAAGAAAAGTAATACCGAAGAAGAACATAAACAAAAATGCAGAAGAAAACCATGAAAAGCAATGACACTAAAAATACCTTATATAAGTAGGAACAAGATGGTTTTCCTGGGAATTCAGTTACCGCGTCTCCTCCATGTGCGTCGTTGCCTTCGTTGTTGCCTAATCCAAAAAGACTTCATGAACCAATCATGTTTTCTTTTGGTTACGATGTGTCCCATAACCACTCCAACGACAAATCCACTTCCATACCCAATCGCAACAAATTTCCAGTCAAGTCTTAATGGTTCATGAGCTGGAGCCGGAGCCAGAGCAGTCAAGGCGTTGAGATTTCCACATTTCTTCGACAATGGCACCCCACAGAGTCCTGGATTTCCATCAAATGAATTGTTCTGAAATGTATTGAATTGGTTTCCTCTTGGTATTTGCCCTGCCAGATGGTTATGAGACACATTAAAGAACTCGAGGAAAGTGAGCTGCACAAGTTGTTGTGGGATCTTCCCAGAAAGCCTGTTTTGAGACAAGTCCAATGCTTCAAGCTTTGCTAGATTTCCAATGGATGGTGGAATGAAACCAGAGAGAATGTTGTTGGAAAGGTTGAGCAAACGAAGCCCCTTTAGATTCCCAATGAACTCTGGTATCTCTCCTTCGAATTTGTTGCATGATAGATCGATGAATATCAAAATCTCTAAGATCTTTTCATAATCCATCTCCAAACCTTTGTTTATCAAAGTCATAGAATACGCAAAATAATGTGGTATCCACTGACCGTTTATGTTGACACTTGTGTCTGCCTGCATGTATTTTAAATGGTCCTCATCATCAACCTGCATAGCAAACCAGCATCGGAAGTATTTCACTGGCAAATTACCAGTAAAATCATTGGAAGAAAGATCCAAAATTTGCAACTTTCGGAATGACAAACTTGATCCAGGAGTCCCTATTTTACCATGAAGTCTATTACGCCGTAAAATGAGAATCTTCAACTCTGGGAGAGTTCCCATCCAGGATGGAAAAGTATCGATGAGATGATTGTCGCTGAGATCAAGAACCTCAAGCATTTTACAACTGGCTATTGATGTCGGTATCTGCCCATGCAACTTGTTTTTACCCAATCTAAGCATCCTTAGTGAGCTCCCATTTGCCCATCTTTGTGGAATGGTTCCACAAAGGTAGTTACTTTCTAAATTCAATACAGAGAGAGTGCTACTAAAGTTGCCCAAACATTGAGGAAGCAAACCATTCAAGTTGTTTTCTGACAAATCAAGTACTTCAAGAGAGCTGACTTTGCAAATTGATGGTGGGATATTCCCAGCCAATGAATTGTTTGAGACTGAGTAATGAATGGTAGAGAATGGAGGAACTAGAAGTGAGCCTTGGAGCATGTTTGAACTGAGGTCTAAAACACGCAACTGAGACCATGGAAGAACAGCTGTTGGTTGATCAAGGCCTGTTAGAAAATTGTGAGAGAGGTCCAACAGTTCTAGTGTTTCTGTACTCATTGTCCACATCCAACTGGGAACTTTGCCGTGCAGATTGTTAGAGGATAAATCTAACCATACCAATTTGTTTTGTTTCTGCAAGAAGCGAGGGAAGTAATTTAGGCTGCATGATGCCAGTGATAAAGCTTCAAGCTTTGGAAGTGTTCCATTGGTGCTAGTTTTGCTGTCAAAAACTAAGTTGTTAAAGGATAAGTAAAGTATTCTTAACGTTTTCAGAGGAAGAAATGTGTCTAGGTTAACTGTGCCGCTCAAGTTGTTCTGTGCAAAGTTGAGATAATAAAGTTGTGTTAAGTTGGTTAAAAAAGCGGGGATTTCACCAGTAAGAGAATTATTAGCCAAGTTTAGATACAAAAGTTGAGTCAACTTGCCTAAAGAGGATGGGATGTCACCATGCAAATTGGTTTCTTCTAGACCTAAATATTGGAGTTTGGTTAGCCTATCAAGCCAAGACAAGGTTCCAACACTCAATTTGTTCAAGTCAAGTGACAGTTGAGTCAACTGGGTGAGGTTTGCAAACGTAGAAGGTATTTGGCCCCTGAAAGAGTTATTTCCAAGGACCAACATTGTAAGCCTGCTTAGATTGCCAAGTGAAAATGGGATCGCTCCTGAGAAGTTGCAAGAATGGATGGTCAAAGCTTCCAAGGAATGGAGGTTTCCTATAGAGGCAGGTAAGTGACCGGTGAGATCTGGATTGTACGGCACCTGAAGGGACTGAAGGTTTGGAAGCTGAAAGATTGTCTCTGGGAATTTTCCAAGCAGTCCACCATTAACGAGAGTGAGAGCTTTCAATGAGGAGAGATTTGCAATTACATTAGGTATCGGGAATGACATATCCACAGAAACAAGCCCGAGAAATTCTAGGTTGGTTAAGTTTTGCACTAGGCTTCTCAGGTCAGGCATTTTAAGTTTCAAAAACCTTTCAGAAAATGGTTTATAGCTGGAAAACAGGGCAAGGTGAGTTAATCTGGACAGCTTGGAAATTTCTGATGGAATATTGCCAAAAAATAAGGAGTTTGAGAGGTCGAGAGTTGTTAGCTCAGAAAGATTACCTAACGCAGAAGGTATCTGAGAACCATTGAAGTCATTGTTGGCGAGGTTGAGCTTTTGAAGATGTATTAGGTGGAAGAGACTACTGTTGGAGTCTATCGAACCGTAGAGACAGCTAGCATTGAGGTTAAGGCCAATCACATGACCAGTATCCTCATCACACTCGACACCGTCCCATGAGCAGCAATCACTACCATTTCCTTGGAGCTTCCAAGACTCGACCTTGGGATTAGCAAAAGGGAATTTGGAAGCATATCTGCTAATAATAAAGCTTTCCTTGAATTGCAACAGTGCTGAGAGCTCTTTGCTGTGGCATTTGGTGTACACTGATGGAAAGGCAAACATGAATCGAAAAAGAGAGAACATCAAAAGCAAGGATGATATTGTGAGCCTCATTATTATTCAATGAACTGATATTTAAGTCAGAAAAGATGATTGTTGGTAGGGAACTCGGCCGTTTCAATCTCATATTTATAGCACAACATTGCGGTTGATGTTCAAGGCAGGAAGGGATTTTTCTTTGGAGCGTATGCGGCTTCAATAATGCTTTGTCAATTCCTCTCAAAACAGCTATTGACTAAGGCTTGCCGGTCTCGAACATCTATTTAATATTGTCTTGTCTCTCGTTATCACTTTATCTTGAGAATTTGCTGCTCTGTGGTTGTAATTTCCACACCAAATATTGTTTGATCACAGATGGAAAGGGAAATATGCCTACTGCCAAGAGTGTGAGAGAGGCAAGACTACAGTAAACAAGAAAATCCAAGTCGTTTTGTTGACAATTTAGTAAAAGCAAGAAATCAAATAGAGTGCAATTTACGGATCATGCAAAGCCAAGTCCTTCTCTAATTAAAGAAAATCCAACCTGCCAACAGTAGAAAGAACAGAAGTTTCCAGCAGAAATGAGAAATCATTACATCCTGACAGATTAAGATTCCCATCTAGAATTTCCAGTGGGTATGGATCTACACTATTGTTTTCCTAGCTAATTAGTATACTTTTGCCCCCACAAAGATAAGACCTGACTACTTTTGTTGCATGGATGCACAGATCATCTGCCTATAAATGAAATTCCCAACTCTGTTCTGTTGGTCCAGTTGGCAACTACAAGAACTTGGAGCCTTAGATATCCTGTTTTTCTTTGAGAAAGTAGGTATAGAAGAATTAAATGAACCTATGCACAAAATCTATGAGGGCGTGGTGCCTTGCACTAATAGAAGAAGAGAAGAAATTCATAAAGAAGTTTAATTCATTTTGAAGTTCTATTAGGTTGGTCTACATTTATTTATTTGGTTTAAGGTTTTGCCTATCAAATCACTTAGAAGAACATCAAATCAAGAATGTGAAGGATCTCAAGAAAGTTATAAGCAACGGCCCAGAAATGAGAACAGACAAATGTCATGCAGAATCATCTGCTGCTCCCACTTGAAGTGCCTTTTCATTTTGTTTGGTGCAAGTATCATTCTTTTCCTAGTTTCATTTCTGAGTGGGAATTTGGAAGCATATCCGCTAATAATAAAGCTTTCCTTGAATTGCAACAGTGCTGAGAGCTCTTTGCTGTGGCATTTGGTATACACTGATGGAAAGGCAAACATGAATCGAAAAAGAGAGAACATCAAAAGCAAGGATGATATTGTGAGCCTCATTATTATTCAATGAACTGATATTTAAGTCAGAAAAGATGATTGTTGGTAGGGAACTCGGCCGTTTCAATCTCATATTTATAGCACAACATTGCGGTTGATGTTCAAGGCAGGAAGGGATTTTTCTTTGGAGCGTATGCGGCTTCAATAATGCTTTGTCAATTCCTCTCAAAACAGCTATTGACTAAGGCTTGCCGGTCTCGAACATCTATTTAATATTGTCTTGTCTCTCGTTATCACTTTATCTTGAGAATTTGCTGCTCTGTGGTTGTAATTTCCACACCAAATATTGTTTGATCATAGATGGAAAGGGAAATTTGCCTACTGCCAAGAGTGTGAGAAAGGCAAGACTACAGTAAACAAGAAAATCCAAGTCGTTTTGTTGACAATTTTGTAAAAGAAAGAAATCAAGTGGAGTGCAATTTACGGATCAATCAAAGCCAAGTCCTTCTCTAATTAAAGAAAATCCAACCTGTTAACTGTAGAAAGAACAGAAGTTTCCAGCAGAAATGAGAAATCATTACATCCTGACAGCTGCTCCCACTTGAAGTGCCTTTTCATTTAGTTTGGTTTAAGTGTCATTCTTGTTATAGTTTCATTTCTGTTTAAGAGTCAAATAGTAACAACAAACAACTAAATAAAAATCAAGCATTTTTTTTCTGATTCAAACAAGTAAATGTTTTCAAAACCACTATGCAGATTTACCAATCACGAAGCTCCAAACTAAGAACTTTCCCGACTTCCATAGATATGCGATGAAAAATTAATTTTAAAGACCAAACAGTCAATTGTAAAAATCAGATAATTAAGTTCAAGCTCTCGAAAAGGCTTTAATTTTTAATTTTATAAAAGTTTTATTGAGCTGTAGAGACTGATGTGGATGAAGACTTACAGTATAAGATGATATAAAGATCCAGCATGATGGTCTCGCTTTGTTAGATTTCCAATGGATAATGGGATGAAACCAGAGAGAATGTTGTTGGAAAGGTTTGAGCAAACAAAGCCCCTTCAGATTCCCAATGAATTCTGGAATCTCTCATTCGAATTTGTTGCACGAGAGATCAAGGACTATGAATTCCCAGTGCGTACTTGATAATTTGGACAAACCACCAAACGGCTTAGCCATTTTGTGGGTATTGTTTCTCCAATGGAATAAAAGCCCAAAGAAGCAGCCCAACACCTCTCAAAGCTTAGCGAAAGCCCAATAAAAATATAGGCCTGCCGAGAAGGAAAAAAATTTCAACAACTTAGGGCCTTTCCTTGCTTCCTTGCATGAAGACTTGGCTTTGATAGTTCCATAACAAATTATTTTCACACTATTGAATTTAGACTGATGAAACCTAATGCTTATTTATCATGATTTGTTTCATTTGTTTACAAATGTTTGTGTTTTGTATTTTGATAATTTTTTGCAAGAATTTATTGTTTGATCAGACACTGCTGCTTTGTGACTCTAATTGCACACCAAATACTAAACTTCTTCAACCTGTAAACAGTGGAAAAGGCAGAATTTCCAGGGAAACCATTGCAACCTGACAGATTCTGATATGGAGCTTTGCTCTATAACACAATCAGAAAGTTTTTGCTTTCTTTCAGAAGTGCATTTAACTCTGAATTCAACTTCCATAGCAGAACCCTTTCACTGGGATCATTTTAATTATTTATTTGAGATACCAAAAGGAAAGAAGATGCTGCTATATTTAGCAGAATCATCTGATGCAGCCACTCAAAAGGCCATAAACTAAGCTTTTTTTTTTTTTTTTTTTTTTTTTTTTTTTTTTCCTATGCAGTGAACAATAGATAATAATGCTGCAACATTTTCAGCAAACATTAACATTTTGCGTTGGGAGCATTATTTTTCTAGGGCACAAGATGTTTCCTGTATCATTCCTACCCGACATCAGATGAGCTAAGCTCAACCTACGGCGATTTATTAGCATTTTCTAATCAACGCAAGAAGTTTCATGTGCATGAGCTTATAGACAACATATGATACAGTTTGGCCATATCAAACCATACTCAGATTCTGTTTCAAACATGCTTGGATTATTCTTTTGCAAATCAAGGACTAAAAGAACAGTATGCCAACAGACCAAGTCTCTGAAACTCACTGAGAATATGAAACTATAGTAGATAGTAAGACGACGGAATTTGGACTTATATGTGTATCCTAACAGAAAACAAGACATCTGGATCAAAATGATTTCATTCTAATTATATATTCGGGTTGAATGGAAGATTGCAGACTCTTTCAACACATACAGACATTATAGTAGCTAATATCTTTGAAGAATAAGTCTTGAATTCCCGATCCATGCTTTATTTTTCACGCTTATCTGCGACTCGAAGTTCACTATAAACAAGAGATCTTGTTAACCATAACTTATCTCAAACTTACTTCAGTACTAGTTTATCAGTCTCTTGCTAACAGCTGTCGGAAGAATTCAAATGGCTAGTCGCATTTTGGTTATTGCCAGTTTTATAGCCATTGCCTTTGCCATGGTCACTGCCTTTGAGCCTAGTCCGTTGCAAGATTTCTGTGTTGCCGATCCTACTAGCTCAGGTCAGGATCTTACTAAATTTTACAGTAGCTTTTATTGCATGACAAGTGTTGCATGTTTTTGCTTCTACTCTTTCCAAAACATTAATCAGTACATGTCAAATGTTTGGTTCATGTTTCTTGCATGTTTTTTATTTTTCATATGGCAGCAAGAGTTAACGGTCTAGCTTGCTTGGACTCAAAGAAGGTACAAGCCAACCACTTCTCCTTCAGTGGCCTTCATATTCCAGGAAACACATCAAATGCCCTTGGCTCTGCAGTTAAACCTGTCTTCGTAGCCCAATTACCCGGACTAAACACCCTTGGAATCTCGATGGCCCGCATTGACTATGCACCCTGGGGTCTAGTTCCTCCTCACTCACACCCCCGCGCAACTGAAATTCTTACAGTCTTGGAAGGCAGACTCCTTGTTGGCTTCGTGACCTCTAACCCTGAAAACAGGCTCATTACTAAGGTCCTTGAAAAGGGTGATGTGTTTGTGTTTCCTATTGGACTTGTTCACTTCCAGAGAAATGTTGGCCCTGGAAATGCTTTCTCTATCTCTTCCTTAAGCAGCCAAAACCCTGGTGTTATTCTCATTGCGAATACTCTATTTGGATCCTGATTTGAAGAAGATTTTGTCCTTTCCTACCAATTTATTCTTTGATAATTTGTTACCAATATATTTGTCTAGTTCTCATTAATTCTAATGTTTGATTATTTGTATAATTTATTTACAAAATGTTTGTACTAAGATTTCCATAAAGTTTGCAACAATTTCAAGTTTGATCATATTGTAACGTCTAACAGAATCATATCTGGAGCTGTTCAAGAATGTCTTTACCTTTCTAAGGAAAGTCTTCAAAAATTCCTTCCAGCCATATACTAATCTTACCATAATACAAATGAAAAAACACTAGACCAATCAGTCTTATCTGATTGAAGACAACTTCATTCCTCAAGTTCCTGTTAAGTCCAACTGGTGACAATGATTTCAGGCATTTGTTAAGATTTGATTTTAATGAATCTCGGCAGGCCCAAAACATATTGTTTCATGCATTTTGTAGTGAGTTGAGGTAGACCTAATTAAGTCTGTTGGATCGTTTACCACTCCTTTCTCCAGAATTATTCACAGTTATTTAATGTGGGTTTCATTTTTTTTTTTTTTTTTTTTGTTTTCTGATTTGGAAGAAGACATCCTCTGCATGAACTAATTGGTTCACTGGCCTATCCAGCTTGGAAAATTTGATAATATGACACAGTTTCACAATATGAAACCAAAATCGAATCCTGTTGAGCATGTCTTGTATTTCTGACATGGAACAGCTAGCTGATGATTTCATGGACCATATTGACCGACAGAAATCCAAGAAGATACCAGTGACTAATTTTGTTTCATTGCCAGAAAACTTCCTCAATAAAACTAGACAGACACAACGTGAATCATAAATTCTCCCAGTTTTGAATTACTCTAAACAGTAGGCCACTTGATAAATCTAGGCTGAATCATCTCAGCAGAACAGAACAACAGTAGGAAAAACATCAACATTTAGCAGTTGGAACCTTTTCACGACTTTTCTAGCCGCAAGAAGTTTCGTGTATTGTTTCTACCCAACATCAGAGAAAACACCTGTAGATAGAACCAAGTTCAACCGAACCTATGGGGATTTAGTAATATTTTCTAATCACTACTCCCATACTAGGCTCTTTCCCTGGTTCATCGAGCAAGACCTGCCTGTGAAAAATCCATTCTAGCAACATAATAAAGTTATTTCCATGCAGATTTAAATATTTTGGTCCAAGTGGGATGAGTTGAAATTATGCGAGAATTAAGAGTACATGAGATAATTGTTTATTCAAGTGTCAAAACATGCATGCTTTATTCTCCTCCCCAGGACCGACAACATATGATACAGTTTGACCACATCAAACCACACACCGATTCTGTTTCAGACAATAGCCTATGTCCAATACAAGGATGCCATGACCAGTAGCCCAGCATTATTTTTTTCATCTTCCACACAAGCTTAGATTCACATATGTACAAAACTTACACAACTGAGTTGATTGACCAAGTCTCTGAAACTCTCTAAGCATATGAAGCTATATAGACAGTGAGACAGCAAAATTTGGACTCATATGTGTAAAACATACCCCAATAAGATTTGGGAGAGTCTCATTATATATTGTGGATCCTAGCAGAAGATAAGACATTTGGATCAAAATGATTTAATTCTAGTTATATATTCCAGGTGAATGGAAGATGGCAGACTCTTTCAACACATACAGACATTGGATAGTGGCTAATATCTTCAAAGACCGATTCTTGAAGTCCTGATCCATACTTTACTTTCATGCTTATCTGCCACTCTACATCCACTATAAATAAGAGTTCTTTTAACCATAACTTTCATCAGTACTAGTTTATTAGTCTCTTTCCAACAGTACTCTTAAGGATCAAAATGGCTAATTGCGTTTTAGTTATTGCAAGTTTTGTAGCCGTTACCTTTGCCATGGTCACTGCCTTTGAGCCTGGTCCATTGCAAGATTTCTGCGTTGCCGATCCTACTAGCTCAGGTTAGGATCTTATTATTATACAGTAGCTTCAATTGTGCATGTGTCTGCTTCCGCTCTTTCCAAAACATTAATCAATACATGTCACGGTTTAGTTCAAGTTTCTTACATGTATTTTCCTTTTCATATTGCAGCAAGAGTTAATGGTCTGGCTTGCTTGGACTCGAAGATGGTACAAGCCAACCACTTTTCCTTCAGTGGTCTCCATATGCCAGGAAACACATCAAATCCCCTTGGCTCTGCAGTTAAACCAGTCTTTGTAGGCCAATTACCAGGACTGAACACCCTTGGAATCTCCATGGCCCGTATTGACTATGCACCCTGGGGTCTAGTTCCTCCTCACACACACCCCCGTGCAACGGAAATTCTTACAGTCTTGGAAGGCAAACTATTTGTTGGCTTTGTGACTTCTAACCCTGAAAACAGGCTCATTACTAAGGTCCTTGAGAAGGGTGATGTCTTTGTGTTTCCTATTGGACTTGTTCACTTCCAGAGAAATGTTGGCCATGGAAGTGCTTTCTCAATCTCTTCCTTAAGCAGCCAAAACCCTGGTGTTGTTCTCGTTGCTAATGCTCTATTTGGATCTACTCCAAGCATTCCATATGATATTCTAGCCAAGGCTTTCCAGTTGGACAACTCTGTAGTTGAAAAACTTCAAGCTCAATTCTAGGCGATCAAGGATCCTGAATTGAAGAAGATTTTCTCTTTTTTTTTTTCCAATTTGTTTGTCCAGTCCTCATTCTTTCGAATGTTTGATTATTTGTATCATTTGGTTACAAAATGTTTGTTCTTAGATTTCCATAAAATTTGCAAGAATATAAAGTTTGATCAGGCATATACTACTGCTCTGTGGCTGTAATTGGCACCCCAAATATTTATTTGCATTGGTAGCAAAGTTTGAAGCTCCATGAGGGTAAGAGAGGCATGAGTACAGTGATTTCTTATCCTACTCAAACGCCTGTGCAATAAGGTGTTTCTCATAAGGATAAGACTTAATAGTTAATATCCTTGTTTAACTCTACATCATTAACATGCTTATCTCTGTAAAGTTTGTGCTCTACTAGCTAACTGAATTTTGTATACATATATACAATTACTGTAACACAATATAATACAAGAGGAGATCATTCAGTTCTACATGGTATCAGAGCCGATTTAGCTTAACAGCAAAAAATACCTCTCCTTCAACCCGCTACTAACATATACTACTATTGCAATCTTTTTTTCTTTTCCCTTACCAAATCACACCAATCACACTTTACTGCCCCCATTCCATTCATTCCACATTCCATTCAAATACTTTCATCCCAGCTCGCTACTGCCCAAATATACCTCTTTCACTGCTGCAAAATATACCAGCCTGCTACTGCCCAAATCACGTACAAATCACGCCCAAAGTACCTTGCCCTTTAAACCAACGCTACTGCCCCACATCCCTGACCTGGTACTTTAAGCCAACACCTACTGCCCTACTTCACCATGTCTACTACACAATCAGACACTGTCCTACTCCATCCGCTGCAGCCCTTGTTCTAACAGCCCTTCCATCAACACTGCCCCATTCATTCTTTCCAAGCTTTAACTCTCAAAACTTGATTAAGCTTAGTCCCACCAATTTTATCCTTTGGCAAACCCAATTCCAACCATTCTTATGTTGTCGTAGTCTCCATCATATTGATGGCACCCAATCTCCACCTACTGCCAATATCTCTATAACTGACCATAATCCAGCCTATACTGTCTGGGAACGCCATGATCAGTTGGTCTTTTCCTGGATTGTTGGGTCACTATCGGAGGTAGTCCTCCCTTTTGTGGTTGGTGGACACATAGTAAGGGCAGCTTAGCTCAAACTCACTACTTCATTTGGTTTTGGAACACAAAATCAAATCAATCATCTCAAAAGCAACTTATACCGTCTTGTCCAGCGACATTCTAAAACCATTCCTCCATACTTTTAGCGGGAAAAGTCCATTTATGATCTTCTTCACTCGCTTGGATCACCAATACCTGAAGATGACTTAGTTCAGGCCTTATTACGAGGTTTCAGTACCTTATATTAGCCTTTTGTTCACTCCACTGAATCTAGACATGAGGCTATTCTTTATGAGGCTTTGTATGGCCTAGCCTTAAGTGAAGAATTTCAGCTACAAGATGGCCTCCAATCTGCTGAAATTCTGATTTTTGCTTATTATGCCACTCAACATCCTACTTACCGTGACCATGGTCGTCGTGGTGGACGATCACCATCATTTAGTTCTCCCTAAGGGACTTTTGTTCTTGCTACAGTACAGGCTGCATCTAGTCCAGTTACCTACTTCAGTTGTAATGGCACTGGTCACCTTGCCAACATCTACCCATCTCCAAAACCACGTCTATGCAACCGTTCGCATAAACCCTCACCTCATCTCACCTTCTCCAACTCCTCTCCTAATACCTCTCAATGGATTATGGATACTAGCCCCACTCACCACATGACAGCATAACTAGAAAAATTGGCCATTCACAATGAGTATCATGGTCTTGAAGAAGTGCAACTAACTAATGGTAAACACATTCCCATTTCTCATATTGGTTTTTCATCATTTAATCTTTCTCATTGTTCTTTCAGTCTCAACACCATTTTACATGTTCCTGATAGTAGTCAAAATTTATTATCTATCAACACTTTCATACAAAATAATTCCTATTCCCTTGAATTTTTCCCTAATAAATTTCTTATTAAGGATTTGGCTACATAGGAAATTCTCGACGAAGTAACTCTTGACAACGGGCTCTACACCTTCTTCTTGGCCCAACCTTTGGGTCGTTCATGCTCTATTCAAGCTCACAGTACTACTTTTGGGACTTCGCATGCTCTTTTTGGTCATCCCTCCTCCAAGACTCGTCCAATGTGCCTTGAAGGATGCTAATTTATCTTTTTCTAAACCAAATTCCTCATTATGCCATGCCTGTTCCATTAGCAAAATACACAAATTACTATTTCATGAATCTACTTATGAGGTTAAGGTTCTGTTAGAATTAATTTGTTCTAATGTTTGGGGATCTTCTCCTGTACCTTCAATTGATGGTTACTCGTATTATATCTTATTTTATGATCATTACAGCAAATATTGTTGGATCTTTTTTCTTTGACACAAATCTAAAGTCTTTAGTTGTTTTATTAAATTCGGGCATGTTATGAAAAAAAATTTTGATAAAACAATTAAATAATTTCAGTCTAATTGGGGAGAAAAATACCACGCCTTAACCAAATACCTAAAAAAAATGGTATTTCCCAAAGAAGTGCATGTCCCAAAACACCATAATAAAACGGGTGTGTTGAGCGAAAACACCATCATATAATTGAAATTGGCTTAGCTCTACTTAATCATGCATCTATCCTATTAACATTCTAGGCCTATGTCTTTGATACTGTTAGTTATACCATTAACAAACTTCCCACACCCCTCATCCACAACAAGTCTCCTTATTTCACCTTTTTTGCCACGTTACCTTCATATAATGAACTTAAAATTTTTGGCTGCCTATGCTATCAATGGTTACGCCCATATACTAGTCATAAACTTGTTCCTCGCTCTTCGTCTTGTGTTTTCTTAGGATATAGCAAAGATTTTAAAGGTTACATATGTTACAATTTATCTCCCAATATTCATATCTCAAGCCATGTCTTATTTAATGAACATGTATTTCAGTTTGTAATGTCGTTTAAGAACTCCCTGATACTTCACAATCCATCAGAAGTCACTCCTTTGCCATTGCCGCTACTGAACTAAATACACTCCACCACATCTGATTTCCCGTCATCCATCATTCCTGATACACAAACTTTACCACCTAACCCTTCTTCCAAAGAGTTCGTTCCGATCCTACATTTTGTACAAAACTCACATGTGCCACCTCCATCTCCCATATCTCTTATTATGGATCTCACACCATACCAACTCACTCCTTCACACTCCACTATGCCACCTCCTATAGTAGTACCTACTGCTATTGATCCCCAGCCTCTTGTCTCTGTTCCACCTACTAGAACTTCCTCCACTACCGTCAACCCTCTAGTAAATACAACTCCCTTTTATGGCATGGTGACTTACTCCAAAACTGGAAAGTTGAAGCCTTGTACCTTCTCTACAAAAGCTTGTACTCTAGAACTGTCAATATTAGGTCAAGCTCAAACTGATCCTAACTGGCCAGTAGCCATAGCTGCTGAATTTAGAGCACTCATTGACAATGGTACATGGGAGCTTGTCCTACTACATCCATCCTACAATGTTATTGGGAACAAATGGGTCTACAGGGTGAAGACCAATAGTGATGGAACCATTGATCGTTACAAAGCAAGGTTGGTGGCCAAAAGGATTCAACCAAAGACCTAGTTTGGACTTCACGAATACATACAACCCTATTACCAAACCAGTGGCTCTTTGCTTGGTCCTTTCTATTGTAGTCTCTCATGGTTGGTAGATTGATCAACTAGATGTCTCCAACGTATTCCTCCATGACCCTTTAGAAGAAGTTGTCCACATGACACAACCTCCTGGATTTGTTGATGAAGATCATCCCACTCATGTCTGCAGGTTGATTAAGTCTTTATACTGGCTAAAGCAGGCTCCTCACCAAAGGTTTAAATGCCTCATAGACAAGCTCATTACTTTAGGCTTTTAAGGGTCCCAAACGGACGTGTCTCTTTTCTTCAAACACACTAGTAATGATCTCACATTCTGCCTAATATTTGTTGATGACTTGGTTGTAACGAGCAATAGCACTGCACTCATAATATCCCTCATTACTGCACTTCAATCCAGCTTCCTAATGAAGCATATTGGTAGACTCAATTATTTCTTAGGGATAGAGGCAGCTTGGGAGAGTGATGGCTTACTTCTTCATCTACGTAAATATGCAAGTGACATTCTACGTAAAGCATATATGCATGTAGCTAATAGAATCAATACTCCAGCTTGCCCAAGTACTTGGTTACATGCTATAACAAGGGCAACATTTCATGATCCATCCCTTTATCATAGCTTGGTAGGTGGTCTCCTCTATCTTGGCATCACTTGACCAGATCTTGCCTTCTCAATAAATAAGGTGGCTCAATATATGCATGCTCCAACTGAGGAACATTGGGTTACCTTAAAACAAATATTATGCTATCCTCAAACGACACTGACCATACTATACACATTCAAAAATCTTATGATTTTTCCTTTAATACTTATACTGGTTCCGATTAGGGTGGTGATGTTGATGATTGAAAAGCACCTCAAGCTTTGTGATTGACTTAGGTAAGAACTTGATATCTTGGCATTTGTGGAAATAATGTACAGTTGCTCGCTCATCTACTAAGGTCGAATATTGTGCCTTAGAAACTACAGCTACTAAAATTCAATGGATAGAGTCTCTCATAAAGGAGATTGCTAATCCCTTTACCATACACCCAAAATTTGGTGTGACAACATCTCTGCTACTTACCTCACTACCAATACACCAATTTTTTACTCTCGGTCTAGACATTTAGAAATCAACTTTCACTTTGTTAGGGATAAGGTCAGCAAGGGTATGTTACAAGTATGTTATTGGCCTTCCACTGATCAAATTGTTGATATCCTTACAAAATCGTTATCCATTAATCAATTTCAACGGCTAAGAGAGAAGTTGCGCATTCTCTAGATTCCTGCTCAACTTGCGGGAGGGTGATAAGGATAAGACTTAATAGTTAATATCCTCGTTTAACTCTATGTCTTTAACATGACTATCTCTATACAATTATGTTCTACTAGCTAAATAACTTTTGTGTGTATGTGTGTGTATATATAATTACTGTAACACAATATAATACAAGAGGAGATTATTCAATTCTACAATTTCTTGAATGGAGCTGAGTCTAGTTTTCAATGGCAGGACAATAGGAAGCTTAGGTTGAATCTCCTTTGGACTAAAGAGGCTGCTGGCATATCTTCTTTCGCTTTTCTTTTTTGAATTTACTAGTGAGATTTTTATTTTTTATTTTTAAATCAATCTCACTAATAAGAGTTATTTCATGAATTTAACCCCTTTTTATTATTATTATTTTATAAATGTTATAGACTAGTTTATATTTTATGTTATTTTCAGAATTTCATCTCATTATCTTTTAAGCTTTGAAAATTTTTTTTTCTCTTTCTTCTAGTTATATATTTTAATTATTGTTTCTTTGATTGCTAGGGACTAATAATAGCAATTTTTTTTTTTTTTTGAGAGGGAAAATGTTTTTTTGTTTAGTCCGAATTGTTTATTACCAAATAAAAAATGATGCTTAATTTGTATAATATATACTTGGATCACCATGTATGGGAGCATACAATTAAGAGGATTCGTAGCTTTTAATTAGCTATCTAATTATTTAATTATACTTATGTAAAAATTAAGATACATGCATGCCGTTCTATTAACCAATATCCAAATATGTACACAAACAACGTGAACAAATTAATTAATCATTTCTATATCAAAAATTAATTATCGAAACAAGAGACACTAATTAATTCGCTTTTCAACCAATATGACTAATTTATAATTTACTCTGTAAAAATTTTCCGACACCTATATACTGCTTGGCTTTTTCTGTTTAATTAATTATCCATCTTTCTAAAGATTTCTCTTACACACTAAAACTACAGTTAGTGAACTTGGAGGGAAGTTACTAGGTTGGATTTTATGAAGAGACTTGTCCTTCAAACCATGTCCAGCTTTGAATTGATGTGTAAATTTTTCCTTCTATATATGAAGAGACATGTCTTTTCAAAACCATCATATTTGCAAAGGAAAATCTTTGGAGAAAAGATGTATTTTGGATTAAAACTATGAAAAGTTACAATTCTTCATGGAAGAAGAAGGATACCGTGTCCCATGTAGATTCATGAATGAGCCATCTCCATTGGAAATAATTTATTTTCCATTAATGGAAGTCTAAATTATTTTCCAATTAAACGCTACCTATTCTTTGTATGTTGGATTTATGAGATATCAAGAACCGTGTGAATGGTTTAATTTAATCACATACATAATCCCATTTTCATGTACTTCTTCTTCTTCACAAATTCACAAGAAAAGCAAAATATTTTCAGAATTATAGATTTTGATCAATCATGGGTAGCATTGGTAGTTCTTCACCACCCCATGTAGTGATTTTTCCATACATGGCTCAAGGCCACACTATTCCATTGCTAGACTTGTCCAAGGCATTAGCCCAACGTAGCCTAAAAGTAACAATCATTACCACCCCAGCAAATGCTCCATTTATCATTTCCAAAACCTCTATCCAACCAACAATCTCTTTGTCCATAATCCCTTTTCCAAAAGTTCAAGAATTGCCGGAAGGTTGTGAAAATGTTAACCATCTTCCTTCTACAGATCTCATTTCACCTTTTTTACACGCCATCAAACAACTCAAACAACCTTTTGAAGATGTCCTTAAAGAGATGTGTAATTCTGATAGGACTAATCCCATATGTGTTATCTCGGACATGTTTCTACCTTGGACACTTGATTCATGTCGCAGGTTCGATATTCCTAGGATTGTTTGTAGTGGAATGGGTGTGTTACCTACAGTTCTTGTAAGAACTGTCTCATCCCATGTTCCATGTATGTCTAGTTTGTCCTGTTCTGAGCCCATAAATTTTCCATCAGTTCCATTTCCATTATACAAACTTGACTTCCCTGAGCTAGTTTGGCGTGGGAATAAGAAGGATCCAATGCTGCCAATCATTGCAGAGCTTGGACAGGCAGATTACGGTAGTTGGGGTCATATAGTTAACAGTTTTGAAGAGCTTGAAGGAGACCATGTTGCGGCCTTTGAATCTCTAAATCAAAAGGAGTCCAAAGCATGGCTTGTAGGCCCAATTCTACTTCATGATCGTAAGCCAGATTTGATGAGTTCAGGGTCCCAAAATGGTCAAAAGCAATACATCAAGTGGCTGGACCAGCAATTGGAGATGGGTTCAGGTAATGTGATCTATGTGGCATTTGGTTCACAATCACATATGACAGATATACAGGTGGAGGAGATTGCACTTGGATTGGAGAAGGCAGGACAATCGTTCATTTGGGTGGTCAGATCAAGAACGTGGATCCCACCAGTTGGGTGGGAAGAAAGGGTCAAGGATAGAGGGTTGGTCATACGTGATTGGGTAGACCAGAGGGGTATCCTAGCACACCCAGCAATTGGTGGGTTCTGGACGCATTGCGGTTGGAATTCGGTGCTGGAGGGCTTGTCCATGGGTGTGCCACTCTTGTGTTGGCCCATGGGAGCAGAGCAAGGATTGAACGCTAGGTACATGGCAATGGGGCTAAAAGCAGGGCTCATGGTCCCTCAAGAACGTGATGCAAAAGATGACCTCATGACCCTGGAACATGATGTGATTTGTGAAGTTGTGAAGGAGTTGATGCAAGGTGACCAAGGGAGGAAGGCCAGGGAAAGGGCACAAGAGTTTGCGAGAAAGGCAAGACAAGCTGTGGGAAAAGGTGGATCATCTGATAAGAAATTGGATGAACTAATTGAATCCCTCACTGAAAGACAAAACAATTCTAGGACTATATGAATTTACTTTACTGGTCCTTTTCAAGATTCAAGATAACATTGAATTCGATATTGTACTAAAATTGAATTTATAAACCATATTAATATAATTCTTGGGGTTAAAATTAAATCTTAATCTATCTTTATATTAAAAAAAATAATATTTAATCTGTCCTTATATCTTTTGTTGAATCAAATTTTATCTTTAAATATAAGTTAGGTTTTTAATATATTATTATTTTATCACAATTTTCAGACTAAAACACCAGAATTATTCACATGATATCCACAGATTAATTTTTATTTTTAAAATATTCTTACAAACTAGTCAAGTACAAATCATTTGATGATTTCAATAATTTAACTTAAAATTTTTGTTAGAATAATAATATATTAGGTACTTGATATATATATATATATATATATATATATATATATATATATATATATATATATATACAAAATAAAAAATTATCATAGTATATAGAAAAAGATTGAGCCGTTAAATTTAATTCTTGAACCAAAAACTTATAACCGCATGTTTTCATAATATATTGAACCAAAGATTTAAAAAAAAAAAAAAAAAAATCATTCAGTTTTCTGATTTTTTTATCAAAATTTTGTATTTAATTAATTATTCATTAATTTTTTCATAAATTTTCTGCTAAAAAAACACGATTTACTCTTATTTATTAGATTCTTAACTAAAATTTTGTAATAATCTAAAAATCTATGGATTTTTAACTAAAAATTTATTTTATAAATTATTTTTTTAAAAAGTCCGATAGAAATTCTCTAGGATATATATATATGTGCTACTATTATTTTAAAATTCTAAGAATCCATTATATAAATTATATAATTTTTTTTAAATAATCAAATTTTAAATTTTTATTTAAAAATTATACATAGAGAACAATAAATTATATTTATCAATAATTATTTAAAAAAATAAAATTAAAATTAAATAGATAACAATATCTATAAGAAATGATAAATTGAAGAAATAAATTATAAATAATAAAAATAATATCATCTAAAATATAACTATAAAAAAGTTTGATTTTTAATACATATCTATCATTACACAGTATCTTTCATTCAGCATGCATATAAAATAAAAAAAAATGGTTGTGTTCCTGAATCCAAGTTAATAAAAATAAAAATAAAAATAAATCTTACAATTAATGTCTAATAAAATTATTAACAAACCAAGAAGACATTCTGAGGTATAATAAAACCATCTGCTGCTCCCACTTGAAATGTTTTCCCAATTAATGTCTAATAAAATTATTAACATTTCACTGCACAATCACAAACGTTTTACACTGTTCACATACGCTCACTCACACGGTTCATTTTCATTGTTTGGCCAAACAATTTCATTTTGGTCCCTAATGTTTTAAACCTGTTGATTCTAGACGGGGGCTGGTCCTCCTGGCCCACCCCTAATTTTTTTTTTAATTTCATTTAATTTATTTATATTAAAGATTTTTTTTCAAAAATTTTTAAAATATATTTCAAAATACTTCTGTAGCTTTATTTAATTTATTTTTAAATTTAAATTTTTTTAAAAAAATAGTCTATTAATTTTCGTACTAGTTCACATATTTTTAATGTATTTTCTTGAATTTTGAATTAAAATTTTAATTTAGATATTATAATTTTTATTTAAGAATTAATACATAAAAAAGAAAAAATAATATATTTTAAATTATAAGATTTATATAAAAAAATTAGAAAGAATTATTTAAATACAAAATTTTGTTAATTTTTTGTTTTTTTTTGTGGTTTTTGATTCATTATTTTTTAATAGATCAATAACATATCATGAATTATCAAATTAAAATGATTTTATTCTATTCTATCTGTAACTTTGCATAAGTAACCTACTAGAAAACCAATATTTTTTAATTATATTTTAGATTATATTACTTATATTATTTAAAATTTATTTCTTCAATTTATTATTTCTTATAGAGATCTTCATATAATTAATTGTAGTTTTAATTTTTTAAAAAAATTTAATTATTGAAAAATATGATTTATTGTTCTCTATGTATGAACTTTTAAATAAAAATTTAGAATGTGATTATTTAAAAGAATCATATAATTTATATAATGGATTCTTAGAATTTTGAAATAATAGTAGCATGATTATATATAGAAAAATTAAAAATATTTGCCAAGAATTTCTATCAAATTCTTTTTTTAAAAAATAATTTTTTAGCTAAAAATCCATGAATTTTTAGATTTTTTTTTTTTAGATTATTACAAATTTTTAGCTAAGATAGAATTGAATAAATAAGAATAAATTGTGCTTTTTTTACTATAAAAATTTATTAACAAATAATAAATAATTAGTCAAATATAAAATTTTGGTAAAAAATGAGAAAATTGAATGAATTTTTTTTTAATCTTTAATTTAATATATTTTAACGAATTCACAATATAACTTAAATCTTTAAATTAAAATAATTTTATATATTCTGATGAATTTGTAACATAACACGTGTTGAAAACTAATGCTACTAAAGCTCAAACGAAGTGTCAGCCTCAACAATTAGTTGAGGGAGCCCAAAAAAGTGTTGGGATGGAGGGGAAAAACAAAGTCCAGATTGAGTCTAACAGAAATAGTTGGGACCTTGCACCCAAAAATAAAAAGGCCTAAGATGAAATAAGTGCAAGTTGACTAGCCCAAAAAAAAAAAAAATGGATTGCAAGGTGAGTCAAACAAAAGATGGAGAGAAACGGCGTTATGTGTCTCTATGCCAATCTTAGAAAAAGATGACGGTTGAAAGTGAGGAGTGTTGAAGTGGAAAATGTTCTGCATAGAAAAGAAAATGATGAAAGGTTCCACATCGCAGAGTGCCAAAATACAAAGATGGTTAACCATTTTGGTGTCGACTAGCTCAATATTAAGATGAGTAAGTTGTGATAGACTCTCAAGCATAAAGAACCAGAATACCAAGAAGGTCAACCATTTGAGTGTGGACAGATCTAACAACTAGTCATCATCACTTAAATCCAAAATTTGTTCTGAGTTTATTCTACGTATATTTTTAAATAATTATCGTTATATTATATAATGGCTGTTATATAATGATTTTTAAATATTTCATTATTATTATTTTAGTAGTATAATAAGTCGCGATATGTGATAGTGACCACGATAATGTAATGCCAAGTAAGCTTTGACATGTTAGCAATTAGCAAGGATGTTGCTGAAAATAGGCTCAAACTGCTGAAAACTTTTTCTTCCACTAAAGACCTAGTTTCTAGGATTAGTGGCAACTTGTTGCTGTATGAATTTTTGCATTTTCTGTTCAGTTTAGTGGTAGTTTTGTTTATGGACCATGATCATCATATTTTCAGGATTTTTGTTAAGTTTTTTCTGTATTTAAATCATTTTAATCAATGAAATATATGATAAATTTCTCTAAAAAATCTACATTTAGTATAAGAGCCCACTTCTTAAAGGGATATGTGTGCAATCTGAGAGTGTGTGTTTGAGTGCTTCAAAAACAAACACCTTTCCTTCTAAACTCTTAGTACGAGTACGTGTGCAAAATCAGATGGGTTCAAACAACTTTTTCCAGTTCCATCTCCTATTTTCACTAGTGAAAACTACTAGTCGTGGGCTATCAAAATGACAACATATTTCCAGGCACGGGATCTTTGGGAAGCAGTGGAAGAAGAGCTAGTTGTTCCACCACTAGGTGATGATCCCACAGTACAACAAATCAAGAATCAAAAGGAGAAATTATGCAAGTTTTTTAAAGCCAATGTTAGAATCTGAGAATTTTTTAGATACTTTAAGTATCATTTTGTAATCCTTGATTAGTTTAAAAGGAGTGAAGCTCCTTATTTTGTGGGATTTTGTTTTGAAATACTTTTTGTAATCTGAGTTGGTATTGCTACAGTAATATGTGCGACAATACCATGTATATATTTGTACCAGAATATCAAAGTGTGATACTCTGTTTTTTGGCTTCTCATGCTCTGTTTTATGTTTCCTTCTCTGTAACTTCTTTTTCTTCTAATCTTGCCCATGAACTGATATTGTTTACAGCCAAAACCTGCATATATTCAGCACTATTTGAAACACTGTTTATCATAATCATGAATTTGGAAACAACTTTCAAATTTGGCAATATCTCAAGCATGAATTTCAAGGCAATGCAAGAACAAGGAGCATGAGGGTCTTAAATCTCAAAAGAGAATTTGAGTTGCAAAGGATGAAGGACTCTAAGACTACAAAGGAGTATATAGATAGATTGCTAGAAACGGTCAACAAACTAAGGCTCATTGGTGAAGTGATGCTTGACACTAGGGTAGTGGAGAAGCTGTTAGTGACATTACCTGAAAGATTTAAGGCTAAGAACTTCGCATTAAAGGAAATTAGAGGCCTCACAGAGATCACAGTAGCTGAGCTTTTAAATGTAGTAGAAGCTCATGAGCAGAGAAAGCATATTAGAGAGGAAGTCATATTTGAAGGAACAATGTAGGCTAAGATGCAAATTCAACAGAATCAAGATTTAGGCAAAGACAAGAAGAAAAGATGGAAAAACAACAAGGCTAATCACGGAGCAAATGGAATCCAAGGTGCAAGCAGTAGTGGTATTGGCATCAGTAACAATCAGAGAGTCAATTATCCTCACTGTCAGCATTATGGCAGAACTAATCATTATCATTCCAAGTGTTGGAGCAGACCTGATGCAAAATGTAGCAAGTGCAACCAAATGGGGCATGTAGACAAAATCTACAAGAACAAAGGGAAGCATCAAGTCAATGATGCTCAAGCTGTGAATCAAGAGGAGGAGGAGTAGATATTCTTCGTTACTTGCTATACAAACATCAGTCAAAGTGAGACCTGGCTAGTGAGACCTGGTTGTACAAACCACATGACCAACAATTCTAAACTTTTCAAGGAGCTTGGCAGAACCTCCATCTCAAAGCTCAAAATTAGGAATGGAGAATTTATCTCACTTAAAGGTAAGGATTCTGTTGCAATTGAAACTATTGCTAGTGTTAAAGTGATTTCTGACGTGCTGTATGTTTCAGAGATTGATCAGAATCTTTGAAGTATCGGTCAATTAATTGAAAAGAGGTTCAAAGTGTTTTTTGAAGGTAGAACTTGTGTGATCAAGGATCCAGAGGGGCTTAAAGTGTTTTTTTATTAATATGAAGGGAAAGTGCTTCTCACTTGACTTGATGGATAAGGAGCATGCTGCATATCAAGTTTCTATGGAATTGACTAATCTCTGGCATAAGAGATTAGTTCATTTTTACCATGAAGCAATCTTGTTGATGCAAATGCATGCAATGGCACATGGCTTGTATCCATAAAAGGCTTTAAGGGCCTCAAACAAGCTTCAGCTGGTGCATTACTGATCTTAAAGGACCTTACTGAACACAATCTCTCAAAGGCAGTAAGTATTACATTGCCTTTATAGATGATTTGATAAGAATGCTTTGGATATACTTTCTCAGGTTCAAATCTAAAGTGGAAAACATGTTCTGAATGTTCAAATCCTAGGTGAAAAACCAGAGTGGCTACAAAATGATGATCATAAATTCTGACAATGGGAAGGAGTATACCTCAGACTAATTCAACAAATTCTGTGAGGAGGCAGGAATAGAGCATCAGCTCACAGCACCCTACACGCCTCAGGAAAATGATGTCGTTGAGAGGAAGAACAGAACCATCCTGGAGATGACTTGTTGTATGCTATATGAGAAGGGATTGCCTAAGACATTTTGGGTAGAGGCTATAAATAATGTAGTCTTCTTGTTGAACAAATTGCCAACCAGAGTTCTACAAAATCAAACTCCTTATGAAGCATGGTTTAGTCATAAACCTTCGCTGTCCAATTTAAAAGTATTTGGTTTTTTATGTTTTTCTTACATTCCTTGGGCTAAAAGAGATAAATTGGATAAGAAATCTTAGCCTGGAATCTTCATAAACAATAGTAGCACCTTAAAGGCCTATAGAATTTACCAACCTCAGTCATAAAAGATTATCATCAACAGAGATGTTGTTTTATGAAGGACGAGTAGTGGGACTGGAATGAAGGAGGAGCACATCAGCATGAACTGCAGCCTAGTGATGATGTTAATGATCAGCCAGTAAGGGGAACCAGAATGCTCAGACATCTACGCAAGATGAAATGTTGTTGTGATGAAACTAGCGGGAGTTCAAAAAGCAATGCAGGAGTAGAAATGGATTGCAGCCATGCAAGAAGAGCTGTATATGATCAAGAAGAATCATACATGGTAGCTTGTGGAAAGACCTTCAAACAAAAAGGTTATTGGAGTGAAATGGGTATTCAGAACAAAACTCAATGTTGATGGGTCAATAAATAAGCACAAAGCCAGGCTAGTTGTAAAAGGATATGCTTAGGTTTTTGGTGTGGATTTTTCAGAGACCTTTGCTCCTATAGCCAGGCTTGAAACCATTAGATTGTTGCTTGTTGTGGCTACTCAAAGGGGTTGGAAAGTGTTCCAACTAGATATAAAGTCTGCATTCCTAAATGGTTTTCTAGAGAAGGAAATTTATGTTGAACAACCTGAAGGTTTTATTGTGCTAGGTCAGGAAGAAAAAGTGCACTTGCTAAAAAAGGCTTTATATGGCCTCAAGTAGGCACCGAGGGTTTGGTACAGCCATATAGATGATCACTTAATAAGCTTAAGCTTTATCAAAAGTCTAAGTGAAGAAGGCAGGCACTGACATTGTTGTTTTTTCTGTTTATGTTGATGATTTGTTGATCACCTAAAGCAATCTGGAGCTCATTGATGTTTTCAAAGCTAAAATGCTGAAGGAATTTGAAATGACCAACCTGGGACTGATGTCTTACTTTCTAGGTTTGGAAGTGAGGCAACTGAAAAATGAAATCTTTATTAGTCAGTGCAAGTACGCCAAAGAGATCTTAAAGAAGTTTCATATGGAAAGCTGCAAGCCTACTAATAACCATATGCAAGCTAGAATGAAGTTCTGCAAGGATGATGGTGCAGCCAAGGTTGGTGAGAATTACTACAGAAGCTTGATCGGATGCCTCATGTACCTCATTACCTCCAGACCTAATATTGTACAAGCAGTGAGTCTTTTGTCCAAGTCTATGCATTGCGCAAGTGAGGAACACATGAAAGCTACTAAACATATTGTGAGATACATCAAAGGAACTGTTGACTATGGTATTAGTAAGTATGGAAGCTATTAGAATTTTAAGTTAACAGGCTTTTCTGAGTGATTGGGTAGGTTCAATTGATGTTATGAAGAGTACAACAGGTTTTTGCTTTAGTTTTGGTTCAGGTATGATAAACTGGTGTTCCAAGAAGCAAGAAATCATTGCTCAAAACACTGCAAAAGTTGAGTTTGTTGCTGCAACTATACAACAGCAAACCATGCAATATGGTTAAGAAAACTTTTACAGGATTTGAATCTGGTACAGCAAGAACCAACTCAAATTTTTGTTGATAATCAAGCAGCCATAGCAATCTCTTCAAATCCAGTGTTTCATGTGAAGACAAAGCATTTCAAGATTAAATTTTATTTTCTAAGCGAAATTCAGAAAGAAGGTGAGGTTTCCTTAGTATATTGTAGGACTGAGGAACAAGCTGTTGATATTTTTACAAAAGCTTTGCCTAAAGCAAAGATTGAAATACTGGGAGATAAATTGGGAGTTTGCAGCATCATAGGCAAGGAAGAGTGTTCAAAATATGTCTCTGAAGCTACAAGGAAGCTGCTATGTTACAGCTACATTGATTAAGTTCAGTTGTAATGCCAAGTAAGCTTTGACATGTCAGCAAGGATGTTGCTGATCTTAAGGCTCAAACTGCTGAAGACTTGTTCTTCCACTAAAGACCTATTTTCTAGGATTAGTGGCAGCATGTTGCTGCATGAATTTTTGCATTTTCTGTTCAATTTAGTGGTAGTTTTGTTTATGGACCATGATCATCATATTTTCAAGAATTTTGTTAAGTTTTTTCTGTATTTAAATCATTTTAATCAATGAAATATATGATAATTTTCTCTAAAAAATCTACAAGAACAACCATAGAAAAAACTTCTACATTTAGCAGTGGGAGCACTTTCATGATTTTTCTAGTCCACAAGAAGTTTTCTGTTTATTTCTAACCAACATCAGATAAAGCAACTATAGATAGAACGGAGCCATGTTCAACAACAGCTACGGAATCTAGTAGTATTTTCTAATCACTACTCCCTAATTAGGCTCTTTTCCAGATTCACTGAGCAGGACTTGTCTGTCAAAAATCCATACCAGTAACAAAAAAAGTTACTGTTAAGTTTTAACTTGACACACACCAATAAATTGATCCATGCATTTCTAAAACTCGGTATTAGCCTAGTTCGAAACTAATTAGGCATGCATTTTGTGAGGAGTTGGGCAGACCTAAAGCTTGCCGAATTGATTTTTGCACTGTCATTCCATGCAGATTTAAATATTTTAGTCCTATGACTAGAATTTATGTGAGAATTAAGAGATTATGCGTGTCCATGAGCTAAACGTTTATTTAAGTGTCAAAACATGCTTTCTGGTCCTCCCCATACGGACAATACATGGCACGGTTTGACCATTTCAAACCATACTCGGATTCTGTTCAGACAACAGCATACGTCCAAAACAAGGATTTCCTGAGCAGTAGTCCAGCATTATTTTCCATGCAAGTACAGAACTTGCACAACTGACCAAGTCTCGAAAACTAATTGAGCAAATGCGGCTATAGACAGTAAGAGTGTAAAACATACCATAATAGGATTTGGGAGTCACATTATATGGAGCATCCTAAGAGAAAACAAGACATATGGTTCTAAAAGATTTACTTTCTAGTTATATATTCGGCTTGAATTGATGATGCCAGACTCTTTCAACTCAAATGCAGACATTGGACGGCAGCTAACTCCTTCAAAGACTCCTTCTTGAATTCCATATCCATACTTGAATATTCATGCTTGTATGCTACTCTGCCTTCACTATAAATAAGAGGTTTTGCAACCAAAACTTTCCATCTCAAACTTACTTCATCTGTACTAGTTTGTCAGTCTCTCGCCAATAATACTCCAAAGGATCAAAATGGCTAATCACATTTTGGTTATTGCAAGTTTACTAGCCATTGCTTGTGCCATGGTCACTGCATTTGAGCCTAGTCCATTGCAAGATTTCTGCGTTGCCGATCCTACTAGCTCAGGTTAGGATCTTATTATTATACAGTAGCTTTAATTGTCCATGTGTCTGCTTCCCCTCTTTCCAAAACATTAATCATTACATGTCACGGTTTAGTTCAAGTTTCTTACATGTATTTTCCTTTTCATATTGCAGCAAGAGTTAATGGTCTGGCTTGCTTGGACTCGAAGTCGGTACAAGCCAACCACTTTTTCTTCAGTGGCCTCCATATTCCCGGAAACACATCAAACCCCCTTGGCTCTGCAGTTAAACCAGTCTTTGTAGGCCAATTGCCAGGACTAAACACCCTTGGAATCTCGATGGCCCGCATTGACTATGCACCCTGGGGTCTAGTTCCTCCTCACACACACCCCCGTGCAACTGAAATTCTTACAGTCTTGGGAGGCAAACTATTTGTTGGCTTTGTGACTTCTAACCCTGAAAACAGGCTCATTACTAAGGTCCTTGAGAAGGGTGATGTCTTTCTGTTTCCTATTGGACTTGTTCACTTCCAGAGAAATGTTGGCCATGGAAGTGCTTTCTCAATCTCTTCCTTAAGCAGCCAAAACCCTGGTGTTGTTCTCGTTGCTAATGCTCTATTTGGATCTACTCCAAGCATTCCAAATGATATTCTAGCCAAGGCTTTCCAGTTGGACAACTCTGTAGTTGAAAAACTTCAAGCTCAATTCTAGGTGATCAAGGATCCTGAATTGAAGAAGATTTTCTCGTTTTTTTTTTTCCAATTTGTTTGTCTAGTCCTCATTCGTTCTAATGTTTGATGATTTGTATCATTTGTTTACAAAAAAAGACATTTGCATTTGTACTTCTATAATTATGTTGGCTTGAATTGAAGATGCCAGACTCTTTCAACTCAAGTGCATACATTGGACGGCAGCTGACTCCTTCATAGACTAATTCTTTATCCTCATTTGCTTGTTCGCCACCCTTTTCACTATATATAAGAGCTGAAGCAGCCATAATCTCACAACTCCAAGTTACTTGAATAATACTTTATCTATCTACAGCTAATAAGACCCCAAAGATTCAAAATGGCTAAACACATCTTCTTCGCATTGACTTTCGTATTCATCGTTTGTACCTTGGCCGCTGCCTTTGAACCTAGTGAGTTGAGGTACACCTAAAGTCTTGTTGTATCATTTGCCACTTCTTTCTCCAGAATTATTTGCAGTTATTTAATGTGGGTTTAATTTTAGTTCTGAAATCGAAGAAGACATACTCTGCATGAACTAATTGAATAATTGATCACTGGCCTATATATCCAGTGAGGAAAATTTGCGGATGGGGTTCTACTGAATCACTGATAATCAACAACATATGACATAGTTTGACCATATGAAACAAAAATCAAATTCTTTGCGCATGTCTTGTATTCCTATGCCTAATTCCAACTACATTAAATCTTTGTCCTAAATCTAGGCTAAGTAGAAGGTGTATATATAGTTATAGACTTATAGTTATAGGGATGCACTATAACCCTTACAGCAGGGAAGACATTTGGATTAAAGTGATGTAATTCAATTGTTATATTCAGAAGAACACTTCCTCAATAGAATTAGACATTCGCGACGCAAATCATAACTGCTACTAGTTTGAATTACTCTAAACACTCAACAAATAAATATTTCTGCAACATTTTTGCAGAACAACCGCAGAAAAACCTTCCACATTTAGCAGTTGGAGCATTTTCATGATTATTCTAGTCCACAAGAAGTTTTCTGTTTACTTCTAACCAACATCAGAGAAAGCAACTGTAGATAAAGCGGAGCCATGTTCAACCAAACCTATGGGATTTAGTAGTATTTTCTAATCACTACTCCTTAATTAGGCTCTTTACCAGATTCACTGAGCAGGACTTGTCTGTGAAAAATACATTCCAGTGACATAATAAATTGATCCATGCATTTGCTAAAACTTGGTATTAATCGATTTTGGCACTGTTATTCCATGCAGATTTAAATATTTTAGTCCTAGGACTTGTAAATAATGCGAGAATTAAGAGATTATTGGTGTCCATGAGCTAAATGTTTATTTAAGTGTCAAAACATGCTTTCTGGTCCTCCCAATACCGACAACATATGACACGGTTTGACCATTTCAAACCATACTCGGATTCTGTTCAGACAACAGGCTACGTCCAAAACTAGGATTTCCTGAGCAGTAGTCCAGCATTATTTTCCATGCACGCACAGAACTTGCACAACTGACCAGGTCTCGAAAATTAATTGAGCATATGCGGCTATAGGCAGTAAGACGACAGAATTTGGACTCATATGTGTAGAACATACCATAATAGGATTTGGGAGTCACATTACATGGAACATCCTAAGAGAAAACAAGACATATGGTTCTAAAGGATTGACTTTCTAGTTATATCTCCGGCTTTAATTGATGATGCCAGACTCTTTCAACTCAAATGCAGACGCTGGACAGCACCTAACTCCTTCAAAGACTAATTCTTGAATTCCATATCCATACTTGAATATTCATGCTTATCTGCTACCCTGCCTTCACTATAAATAAGAGGTTTTGTAGCCAAAACTTTCCATCTCAAACTTACTTCATCTGTACTAGTTTGTCAGTCTCTCGCCAATAATACTCCAAAGGATCAAAATGGCTAATCACATTTTGGTTATTGCAAGTTTACTAGCCATTGCTTGTGCCATGGTCACTGCATTTGAGCCTAGCCCATTGCAAGATTTCTGCGTTGCCGATCCTACTAGCTCAGGTTAGGATCTTATTATTATACAGTAGCTTTAATTGTGCATGTGTCTGCTTCCGCTCTTTCCAAAACATTAGTCAGTACATGTCACGGTTTAGTTCAAGTTTCTTACAAGTATTTTCCTTTTCATATTGCAGCAAGAGTTAATGGTCTGGCTTGCTTGGACTCGAAGATGGTACAAGCCAACCACTTTTCCTTCAGTGGTCTCCATATTCCAGGAAACACATCAAATCCCCTTGGCTCTGCAGTTAAACCAGTCTTTGTAGGCCAATTACCAGGACTAAACACCCTTGGAATCTCGATGGCCCGCATTGACTATGCACCCTGGGGTCTAGTTCCTCCTCACACACACACCCCGTGCAACTGAAATTCTTACAGTCTTGGAAGGCAAACTATTTGTTGGCTTTGTGACTTCTAACCCTGAAAACAGGCTCATTACTAAGTTCCTTGAAAAGGGTGATGTGTTTGTGTTTCCTATTGGACTTGTTCACTTCCAGAGAAATGTTGGCCATGGAAGTGCTTTCTCAATCTCTTCCTTAAGCAGTCAAAACCCTGGTGTTGTTCTCGTTGCTAATGCTCTATTTGGATCTACTCCAAGCATTCCAAATGATATTCTAGCCAAGGCTTTCCAGGTGGACGAGTCCGTAGTTGAAAAACTTCAAGCTCAATTCTAGAAGATCAAGGACCATGAATTGAAGAAGATTTTCTCCTTTATTACCAACATGTTCTTGGATCATTGTTTTATCAATATGTTTGTCTAGTCTTAGTTTATTCTAAGGTCTCGTGATTTTTACCATTTTTTCGCAAAATGTTCCCACTTAGATTTCCATAAAGTTTGCAAGAATTTATAGTTTGATCAGATTCTGCTGCATTGCGACTAATTGCCACACCAAATACTTTTCTGTCAATTCTAGAAAAGTTTAAAGGCCATGATGGTGAGAGAGGCAAGACTAAAGTAATTAAAAACAGAAAAATCCCCACTTTCATTGCAATTTATGCAAGAGATTCAAAATCCTTACAATGATATGGCCAATAAGAAACACTTAATTGTTACTTCAGATGGGAAAAAAAAATCTTGTAGTCCAATTGGTGACAGAATCATCTGTTGCAATTTGCAAACCTGTACCCACTTGAAATGTTTTTCCAGTCAATCTGGATTGGTTAAAAAAAGTATCTACCTGTTTAAGGGAAGTGTTCAAAAATTTCTTCCAGCCATGAAATAAGCATGCATAGTGCATAATATCATTTCCGTCTTAGAGGAAGCTCCAGCTCGAGCTTGGGTGGACGAAGCGGAAGTGAGAATGCCGGCAAAAACATCTGCTGATTGAACTCAATTTCTTTCCTCAAGGTCCAGTAGCTCAAATGCTGACTGAAGCCCATGATTTTAGCTTTCTTCTGCATGTTGCAGTGGCCAAAGTGTTCAATTGCCAGAATACTTCCTGAATAGAACTAGACATACAAAACATAAATCCTGACTCTGATGATTTTATTCTACATACTGTAAATACCAGGCCCATGTGAAAATGCAGCATTTTTTAGCAGAACTACTATAGAAAGAATAAACCTTGCCACTTCTGCAGTTTTGCACTCGTGGCACTAAAAGACTTGACCGAAAATTCCATAATAGTAACAGAGTATTTTCACACTTTTGGTTTCAGACTACTAAACTTCCTATCAAGTTTAACTTAATATACTCCAATAATATCCAATCATTTGTTAAAATTTGGTCTTCATCAAGCTCGGCTGGCCCCAAACGTGTTGTTCCGTGCTTTATTTAGTGAGTTGAAGTAGACCTAAAGTCCGTTTACCACTTCCTTCTGTAGAATTGTTCACAGTCATTCAATGCAGGTTTAGTTTTAGTTCTGAAATGGAAGAAGACATCCTCTGCATGAACTCAATGTTCACTGGCAATCCAATTCGGAAAATTTGCTATTGGGGTACTGATAAAATCAATTCCAACAACATATGACACAGTTCGATCATATGAAACCAATCTTAAATTCTGTTGAGTACGTCTTGTATTCCTAAGCCTGATTCAAGTACATACGACCTTTTTCCTGAAGCTAGGCCGAGCAGAAGGCACATAGTTATAGCTATATAGCTATGGACAATTTAAAGAACCTTATAGAAAAGAAGACATTTGGACTAACGGGATGCAGTTATATGATTTATATTCGGCTTGAATTGATGATGCCAGACTCTTTCGACTCAAGTGCAGCCATTGGACGGCAGCTAACTCCATCAAAGACTAATTCTTGAATTCCATAGCCATACCTGAATATTCATGCTCATCTGCTACTCTACGTTCGCTATAAATAAGAGTTTTTGTAACCATAACTTTCCATCTCAAACTTATTTCATCAGTACAAGTTCCATCTGTATCTCGCGAACAGTACTCCAAAGGATCTAAATGGCTAATCACATATTTGTTATTGCAAGTTTACTAGCCATTGCTTGTTCCATGGTCACTGCCTTTGAGCCTAGTCCATTGCAAGATTTCTGTGTCGCAGATCCTACTAGTCAAGTTAGGATTACAGTAGCTTTAATTGCATAAAATTGTTACAACGTGTTTTTGCTTCTGCTGTTTCCAAAATATTAATCAGTAAATGACATGCTATTTTTTTTGTTTCTTACACTTTCTGTTTTTGGCATGGCAGCAAGAGTTAATGGTCTGGCTTGCTTGGACTCGAAGAATGCGCAAGCCCAACATTTTTCCTTCAGTGGCCTCCATATTCCTGGCAACGCATCAATTCGCTTTGGCTTTGCAGTTAAACCTGTCTTAGTAGCCCAATTACCTGGACTAAACACCCTTGGAATCTCCATGGCCCGTGTTGGCTATGCACCCTGGGGTCTAGTTACTCCTCACTCACACCCCCGTGCAACTGAAATTCTTACAGTCTTGGAAGGCAAACTCCTCGTTGGCTTTGTGACTTCTAACCCTGAAAACAGGCTCCTTACTAGGGTCCTTGAGAAGGGGGATGTTTTTGTGTTTCCTATTGGACTCTTTCATTTCCAGAGAAATGTTGGCCATGGAAATGCTGTCTCAATTGCTTCCTTAAGCAGCCAAAACCCTGGTGTTGCTTTAGTTGCTAATGCTCTATTTGGATCTACTCCAAGCATTCCTAATGATATTCTAGCAAAGGCTTTCCAGGTGGACGAGTCCGTAATTGAAAAACTTCAAGCTCAATTCTAGAAGATCAAGGACCATGAATTGAAGCAGATGATCCTTTGTGTTATTTACGTGTTTGTTTAGTCTTCATTGAAGTTTTGTTTGATTTATTCACAAAAGTTTGCACTAGTTTTTCAAAATTTTGTAGCTATAAGATGTTCAGTCAAGGCATTCATCATTGATGTTTAGCCTTTTATATGGTTTTAATAAAAAAATAATAATAATAATCTCAGTTTACTCGAATAGCAATGACACCGGATGTATAACACCCCTAATCTAGGACCTAAAAAGGTGAGAATATTACCACCGTTAATTCATATTCGAAGTGCAATGAATGTAAGTTAACAAGACACTCGTGACTTAATCTTAATATCTAGTGTGAAGTTTAAGCCTTAACAACCTAATATTTGTTAGGTAAGTCCTATATTTTAATAAAAAAGACTTTACAAATTTTTCACATTTAACCATTTGTTAATATCTCTTGAACTGTACTCGTGGCTATTTATTATTTTAAATTCTTTTCTTATTAATTATCGCAACTTTGTTTAGGTATAATTCATTATTACCATTATTATATCGCTGATTCTTTTTCTTATTTATTACTTTTTAATCGACGAGCATTTGATTAATTTACTTAAATGTTCTAAGGATATTAGTATGCAATTGACAATTCAAAGTAACTACGCTACTACTAGCACACTACCAGTTTACTATTAGTAGTTTGATTACATATATCCATCATTTATATACAAAATCAGTTTTATGCAAACTATTACAAAATTAGCTTATTTACTACTATACCATTTTTCAAGTCACATCATCTTTTGTTTCATAGCTTTTATTATAGCATAAAACAAACTAACTAAACCTAGTACATATAAAACTATAGCCAATATCATGATCAAAATAGCATGTAATAGATCTACCCGAAAGCAAAATCCTCATCCAAGATATAAGCGTCCGGTGCATCCCTTGGTAGTCGACTCCACAAAAAAATAAGCCATGGTACCTTATTTATTTACACCACAAGGAACTATGTGAGCTACAGACACGGTAAGTTAATGTATGCATCCCCATCAAGATATAAGCATCCGGTGCATCCTTCGGTAGTCGGCTCCACGGAAAAATAAGCTATGTACCTTATTTATCTATACCATAAAGAACTATGTGGGCTACTGACCTAATAAGTTAACGTATACATATAGTGTACGTTCATATATATACATGTATAAAATATTGATATATGCATGATAAATCATTTTTCTCATGTCATAAAACATTTCATAAACAAGTCTAAAAATCCTTTTTTTTATCTTTAGACATGTCCCTTTAAGTACTTTAGGGTTTTCATAATATATGTATGGCGAACCAAACCCGTCTATCGACGCGCCTTATCAAGCCTTTAAAAGTGCACGTCCGTACTTGCCCCGCCCCGAACCATTACCATTATCATATGGAAAACCCATGAAGCTTATCCTCATAAAAATTCTCAAAGTCATGAAAACCACATCATTTAAAACATTTTCAATTGCTATCGAAAAATCATGACATAAAACACGTTTTTGTGACTTAAAACGTTATTCGTGAGCATTGGTGTGCATATGCATTCTAAGTGAAATTGCATGCTGCATTGGTTCATGAATGCTTTCCTTAAATGGTCATATAACCAAGTCATAAGAATATGTATAAAATCGAGGAGCATAACGGTATAATAACATTACCTCTCATAAATCATTCCAATCAACACATACCAAATCATCACCATAGCAAGAACACAACTTCACAAGTACTCATATTTCAACCATAAATAACACTTATCATTCAAGTATATTAAATACCAATTCAAAGTATAAACAAGCATAATATCACATAAAATGACTAAGTTTTAACTTTCTTCACATTAGACTAACTTTATTCTATTATTATTTAGTCATTTCCTTTTATTTCTTAATACCCATTTTAAGTCCATTATGTCCTAACTTAATTAAAATTTCCTAATTGTATAATGTTTGACTAATTGTCGGTATTATTTTCTTATTGGGCCTTATTGGGTCCAACTATCAACTTCCCTATTTTAGACCCATTTTTGGCATGTACTAAATTTTTATATTCTCCTCAACCCTATTGCATTATTCTAACTTCAAATTGACCATTTAAAGGATTAAAGGTTATTTAAACTTGGTACCTAAATGTTTCTTCTTTAGGCCAAATTTTCCTCATCTTCAAATCCTAATAATTTATTCTCCTTTGATCCTAAAATTTTGACACTATGTAGCCTAAATAAACAAAAACTATATGGATCAATTTAATTCACATTCGGGGTGCAAATTTTTGCCCAAACTCGTATTGGGCCTTAATGGACCTAAAGTGGGCCTAAGCCCATATAACCAATTTTATTCAATTTTCATCAAATATTCCATTCCTATACATCAAAACATGCTTATTAAAGTGTAAATAAACCATTAAACCATAAAATAATTGCTTGGAATTCAAATTCTAAAATTTCCAAATTAGATCGAATATAATCCTCCTAAATTAGTGAATTTTTCTTCAATTAATGTGAATTCTTTCATTCTAAATCACTAATTCAGACCTAAAGAAGTCATAATCAAGTCCTAAAACATTAATTGCATGGAAGAATTAAAAACCCCTAATTTAAGCATTTGGGCCAAATGGTAATAAGGGAAGAACCCTAAGAATTTTTTAGGTTTAATCCTCAATTTCAAGCCTAATCAACCTATTTCAATCCCAATCTCATGATTTTTAAGTCAAAATTCATTCCCCCCAAATTGAGTCAACAAGAACCCTAACCCTAATTTTTTCCAATTTATGCACTTAATCAAATCAAAGTAATTAAACACAAAATTGGCATGAAATCAAGCTTGTTTATGGTGTAGATGAATTTAAATAACTTTTTTGAGCAATTAGACTCTAAAAAGGTAAGTTGTTGAAGGATTTCTCTTCTCCCTTTTTTCCTCTAAATTTTGAATTTGATCTTATAATTTTTTTCTTGAGAATTTTCAACTTTCCACTTAAAATTCAAGCTCCTTCCATTGATTAGTGGTGCTTAAATTTTATTAAAATTTTTTTGGATGATTTGTAGGTGGAAATTTTGCAAAATTTTTGTTTGGGTTTTTCTATTTTCTTGCCATTTTTAGTTTTTTTTTTTTCAGAAACAATATTTATAGGGGGATTTTTGGACATTTTTAATTAGTCTCTACCCTTAATTTTGATGAATCTCAACCCTTAATTCATTTTCTAATTATTTATTTACATTTGTCCCAATTTTTTGCCATTTATTCACCTTTTTTATTTAACCCTTCAACCTAGGTTATTTTTTGCCATAATTTTTACTTTAGAACAGACTCATTAATTGCCTTCATCCAGCCAAATTTGGGAGGAAAGTGACAAGTTTTGGTCCTCCAAGTTTCTAGACTTTTTCGTAGCCTATTCTTTCCTAGATCCCTCTTTTATGCAAAAACTCATTTCTAATCCTCCCTTTTTATTTTTTAGGACAAATATTTGACCCTTAACATTCCTAAATAATTTAATTTAGATCATTAGATTTTTAATTTTATGCAATCGAGTCCCTAATTTTATATAATTTAGTCCTTACTTTTAAAATTCCATTCTATACTCTTCAAAAATCCAATTTATTTCCAAAATAAATTCAAAATTTTATTAAGAGATTTTATTTTAAATTTTCATAATTTTTAGACCTCATTTGAGCCTCTAAATTAATTATTTAGTGTAAAAATTATACTATTTCCTATTAAAAATATTCTCCATACTTAATAAAATTAATTTAAATTTTCTAGGCACTCTCACACGTCTCATGTGATTATTCTATGCTCTTAATAAAAATTTCTCATACTCTTAAGGTTCCTCATTAAATTCTTTTCCTCTAAAAACACTATTTCAACATATCAAAATTCAAATAAAATATTCATAGCATATAATAAAATTCACAAAATTGCATAAAATAATTCGACACCCCTCTAACAAATATTCTAAATAAAGAAAACATTTTATTGCACACACAAGATACTCAAAATAATTATTTCACCCAAAAATACTATTCATGCACGAGTAAAATCAATAAAATATTCATTGAGCATGAAATGATTATTTTACCTACTCCGAATATTCTTTCAAATCTTTGTAAACTATTTTATATCTTTAAAATATTTCGCATATGTTTTTAAATATTTAATAATTTTTTTATTTAATTTTAGTTTAAGCGGGTACCGAGTTATTACGAGATGTATTTTCCCAAGGGTGCTCTAAAGTGCCTCCATCGAATTGTAGTACTAAATCATCTCCAACAATCTTAATCAGAGCATATTGAGATAAAACTAAACTAAAATTATTAGTTACTATTCACTATATTATTTGAAACACTATTCACTCAAACTCATATGCATTATTCATTTTATTATACAGCAGTATTTTTGTAGTTTTTGAACATTTTTAAGAAATTTATTATAAAAATTTTCGTGAAATTATAATTTGGTTCCTCTTTTTTAAATATTTTTTTTAGTTTGCAAATATTTTTTATTTGGTTTTGGTCTCACTTTTTTGTTTCATTTTAATCATTTTGGTTCTTGTTTCTTTTTTTTCTCTCTAATTTTTTATTTGACAAAAAGATGGTTAGAAAAAAAAATAATTTGCAAAATAAGATTTTAACTAAAAATGTGGATAGAGATAAATAAATAATTTTTTTAATAAAAAATTTATGAAATTATAAAAATAATTAGTCAAATACAAAATTTTGATTAAAAAATGTGGATAGAGATAAATTTATGAAAATATAAAAAAAATTATAAGATAAGATTTTAGTTAAAATGTAGAAAGAGATAAATAAATAATTTTTTAATATAAAATTTATGAAAATATAAAAAATAATTAGTTAAGTACAAAATTTTGATTAAAAATGATAAAATGAAATTATTTTTTATTCAGTTTTGATTTGATATATTTTGATAGACATAAAATATAACACGAGATATTAAAATAAAATAATTTTTAAAAAATAATTTTATATGTTTTATCTGAGTAATATAAGTCAAAAGACTAGTATATGCTAAATATGAATACTCTAGAAGTCACAGACAGAACACATAGTAGAAAAATCCAATCTTGAAATTCGATTTTTTTTCCCAATAAAATCATCACTTAGTAAATTAAGAAAACTCAAAGTTAAGTTTTTTTTTTTTTTTTCCTTCTTCAAGTTTACCTACTACAATATCATAGTGAATATGATCTCCACCGGGCATCGTAATGCCTTATCTATCATACAAAAAATGTATACTACGATTTTTTTTTTCCTATCAATAATTGATGTTACACGTAAATTAATTCAAAAATACTCTTTATTAAAAGACCAAAAAAAAAAAAACATAAATGTTATAAGATCTAACTTGGACCCGCCATAATCTTTGCAAAACAAACCCTATAAATGTGGAATCCGAAGTGCAAATTATTGACTTCCACGAAGGAGACACCCTCCACTAAGTGAGCTGATTCACTAAATCATCTGACAACCTTATCTGCTGTCTTAATCTTAATCCTATCCTAACAACAGCAAAACCAATCACAAATTCCTTAATGTGCAACAATCACTTGCAAAAAATTCTATTGTCCCTCAAAAAAAATGCTCATGCCATTAATTTTCTTGATCAAATCCTCACCCAAACCATCACAACTGGCCTCACCTATTCCACTCCCACATGGAACTGCCTTATCAGAGCCTACTCCAAAAGTCCCACTCCCATCAAGGCCAGTCTTGTCTACAACTACTTCATTAAAGCAAGCTCAACCAGCCCTGATAACTACACTTACCCAGGTTTACTCAAGGCCTGTTCACGTTTGTTTACTGATTCAAATGGTAAACAAGTGCATGCCCATGTAATAAAAAGAGGCCTAGATTCTGACATTTATGTCCAAAATGCTCTTGTCGATTTTTATGGCACTGGGGGAAACTCAACTGATGCTTGCTTTCTGTTTGATAGAATGCCTAACAGAGATGTTGCAAGCTGGAATTCGCTGATGGGCATTTATAATACGAATAATTCATTCCTTGAAGTGATGGTTTTGTTCAAAAAGTTGATTTGTGACTGTGTTAGAGCTGATAATATCAGTTTGGTGATTGTATTGTCAGCTTGTGCACAGGCACAAATGGAAGGTCTAGAGTATGGAAGATTAGTCCATGGTTTTGTAATAAAAGAGGGGTTTGGATGTTTTTTGAAGGTGAATAATGCATTGTTGAATTTTTACATTAAGTGCAAAGAAATCGATGAAGCGTCGAAAGTGTTTGATGAATTTGTTCACGAGGGAGATGTAGTTTCGTATACGATTTTGATCAATGCATATGTTGAGATGGGGCTGATAGATTTGGCTCGCAACGTCTTTGATGAAATTGTTGATAAAGACCGAATTTTGTGGAACTTGATGGTGCATGCATATGTTAAGGCACAGTGTCCGAATGAGGCGTTGGACCTATTCGAGAAAATGGACAGTGAGCGTGTGATACCAGATGAAAATACAATGGTCAGTGTTCTTTTAGCTTGTGCTAGCTTATCTGACCTGCAATGTGGTCGGCTTGTTCATCGGTTCATTAACCAGAATAGCAATGTAAGACGGGATGTTTTTCTGAAAACAGCGTTGATTAGTATGTATTCTAAGTGTGGGAGTGTAGAGGAGGGCTTGGTTACCTTTTATAAGATGGAATATAGAGATGTTTTTACTTGGACTGCAATGATTGAAGGGCTTGCAAACAATGGGTATGGGACTGAAGCTTTGAGTATGTTTAATCAGATGGAAAACCAAGGAGTTAGACCGAACGAAGCGACACTTGTTTCAGTGTTAACTGCATGCATCCATTCTGGGTTAGTTGATGAAGGTTGCCAATTATTCAAAAGGATGCTCAGTGATTATGACATCCAACTCAAGATGGAGCACTTCGGCTGTCTAATTGATCTATTAAGTAGAGCAGGACTCTTGCATCAGACAGAAGAGTTCATTCAGTTGCTGCTACCTGAGGAAAGGCTCGTCGCTTATAAAACTTTGCTGAGTGCTTGCATGAAGTATTCAGAATTTGATTTCGGAAAGAAGGTTGCAAATCAAATGTCAAAGTTGAGTTCTGATAGCCATGAAACTCGTATCCTGCTATCCAACTTCTATGCCCTGGCAGGTCAATGGGCTCAAGTTGCAGAGACAAGAGAAGTCATAAAAGAATTTTACACAAGAAAGGAGCCTGGCATCAGTTTTGTCGACGTAAAACCATGATGTGAAGTTGTGAATGTTACTTGCATTGAGTGGTGGATAGGTGGGAGAACAGAACTCCATATTTCCTCTGTATTCAAGCAATAGAATTATGTTTTCATGTGAATACATAGAGTAGAAATAAGACATTTCTATCAAGAAAAAATCTGATGTTTATAACTTCCAGCTTAGGCCTTACTATTACCAGATTCCAAATTTCCAACACATTGTGTATCAATAGAGCAACTAGGAACTCTAAAGCTCAAGAAGACCAAAAATGGCTGAAAGTGTTCAGAGAAACACTGAACCACCTCAAACACATGCATTTGACAGTTCTTTTGCAGTATTGATATGCTTAATGCCCTTGAGCTGAATATTTATATTGGTCTGGCAGTTGACAGAACTACAATTGCAGACCTGATGAAGCTTCTTAAACTGAAACAGAACCAAGACATGTATAAAGCAGGTTTCCAAAAAATTAAGCAATGTAAAGTATTTATGAATCTTGATTCTGTCTGTAAATTTACAGTTCAGGATACAACACCTCAAGTTGGAATCCGAACAAAAAGGTTGGAATTGCTCATCAGACAGAGCATTTGTAATACAGTTTTGAGACTTGAAGAACACTTTCCCCAGAAGCAAAAACTGCAAAAATAAATTGTAATAAACAAGAAAGACCCCATTTGCACAGAAGATCATCCAAGATCCTAGCATAAGATTGAAGCAGGGGACCTATACACAGGCTCATTTACACATCTATATCTTCCAACCAATTTTATCATAAAACATGATACAAACGTAAGCACAAGGGATAGACTTCGACCGCCAACAAGTCCAGCAAGAGCAACAAAAAAGAGAATCAGATAATCTGAACTGCTCTTTCTTTCAACTTCCCCCTTTTCAACTACAGCCACCTCGACTTTACCCTGCCATACAGTGCTAGAACTAGAAATTCCCTGATCAGGTTCTTTTCCTTTTCTCCTCTCGTTTATTGCCTCTTCTTCTTCTTCTTCTTCTCCTCCTTCTTCTTCTTCTTCCAGCAACTCTGATAGAAATGCTTTGCCTTGGTTTTCTAACCTTTGTTTGTCACCATCTTCTAGCACTTCAATCTTCCCCATCTCATCATCTCCCAAACAACCAGATGATTCGCTACCGAAATCTGGTTCCTTTTCCTTACTCTTCTTCGCCTTCTTTGCAGCACGCAAATTTTTCGGCACCAATTTCTTTATAAACTTTCTTCTGATTTTTGAGTTTCTGCTTCGCTCTTTTTCGCATACCGAAAATACACTTCTATCTTCCTCTACCTCCACTACCCTCAACTTTCTCCCATCACGACTGAGTAAATCCATTCTTGATTCAGTTCTCATGCTATATTGAACCGGCACAATCGAATCAAAATTGAATTCTGCAACTTGAATTTCCTCAATAGAAGACTTCATTTCAAGCGTCTCAATTAGATCAGAAGATTCAAACTCACAATCATCTTCTTCTTGATCTATCTCTTCAATGATCAATCCTTTTCTCGGATCTTCACATTTCCCTACTCCTTTCAACATCAAAAATGCTGAAGAAACCCTTTCAAAAAAGGTTTCTAAGACTTGCTCTACATTCAAGCATGGTTTCAACAAACATAAGACATGTTTTGCAATATATTCAAGAAAAATAAGCACAAAAGCAGACATTGTTATCCCAACAACAAGCTTTTTAGTGCTTAAACCCAAAACCACCACCAAAAGCATCTTCAAAACCACAAATAACAAACGTTTCTCTTTCTCATTCCAACATTTCTTATTAGCAACCTTAACATTATCAACACCATCAACATCCTCATCAACATCTTCAACAACAGGCAATAAATGACTCACCAAATCACAGACATCAAAACTTTCCATATTCTCCAAATTCTGAATAGGCTCTGATAAATCCACAAAGTCTCTAGAACTTGATAAAGGAATAGGATCAGAGATTACAAGTTCCTCCTCCACCTCTTGCAACTGTTGTTGTCTCCTCTTTTTCTTCTTGGCAGTTGGTTTCCTTAACCTCTCACGGTTCTTGTGAAAGAGATCGACAAGAGAAGTAGGGAAACCAGTCTCAACAACAAGAGAATTCCCTCTTTTTGGTGACTGAAGATCTGCAACAATACGTGAAAATCTTGAACCTTTGTTCTTTTTCCATGGCAAAGGCATGTTGGGGTTAGAAAAGATTGGATTTTGAAGGATGCCCAGATGGGAAATTCCACTAAAAGAGAAGAATTTGAAGAGAATCAGTGTGATCCTGTTCTCTCCCAAGCATCCTATATAATTTTTTTGCTTTGTGTTCTATTTTCCTGAACCAGGGAAAGAAACCTAAGAAGGTTATAAGAGAGACAAAAGAAAGCGAGGGTGAGAGAGGGAGAGAGAGAAAGGGAGAGGAAATGCGGTGGAAAATGGTGAGAAATGACTCCCTAGGCGCGTGGGACCTGTTGGGTTTGTTGAACTTAAAGATTTAGTTTTTGTTTCTGTTCTGTCTTTTGATTTTAGAGAATGTAACTTGTTGTTTTGTGTTGTTTTTGATGATTTTAGGGTTTAGGAGGGTTTGTATTTTTACCTCAAAAGGTGGTGAAATAGGAAGAGAATACAACTAGACAAGGCAATTGGGGTGGTTATTTGCTAATTTTGGTGCATTTTGTTTCCCCTTTCTGCTGAAGAGCTGGATTGTTTACTTGTTTTATTGATTTTTTTAGGTCAACAGTCATTTTTTATAATTAACTTTTTAATCGTTCATCTTCGTTGTTCTATGTCTTTAAATATCGCTATAAAATTTATGAATTTTATCGAAATAATCAGTGTAAAATTAGAAAGAAATGCTTTTTATTATGTAAATTAAGACTCCTTGGATTTCTCATTGAAAAAAAAAAAAAGATCTTTTGATGGTAAGTTTAAACAAATTTAGTTAGGTAAGTTAACCAAAATCAAGCTTTATGCTTAAGCATGAACATCATGTATCATCTCGGTGAATTAGTGAGGAAATAAATAAATTTATGAATTTTATCGAAATAATTGGTGTAAAATTAGAAAGAAATGTGTTTTATTGTGTAAATTAAGACTGTTGGATTTCTCTTTTTTTTTTTAAAAAAAAAAAAAGGATCTTTTGATGGTAAGTTTAAACAAATTTAGTTAGGCAAGTTAACCAAAATCAAGCTTTATGTTTAATCATGAACATTATGTGTCACCTAGTGACTTAGTGGGGGGAATCAATTCATGAATAAATTTTCAAAAAAAAAAAAAAACTATTAAACTCATCCCCCATTTGGCCATGATTAGATTTCATTTAAGAAAGAGATCAAGCATTGGTTAAGCCGAAAATAATGCAAAATTATAAATTATGGAAGCTAACGGTCTTGGTCAGCAATCAATGCAAGCCGCCCCAATGGAAGAAAATCCAATCCACAATTGAACAAGAGTGGTTCCAATCAATGGGGGTTCAAAATTAGGATATTTCTTCAATGGGACCCAAATACCATTTGGATTAGAATCGAATAGTGGAAAATCATGATTAAATAAGGTTGTGTTTGTTTCGTCCATTTTCTTTTTTCTAATATTTGTTTTCTGTCTAAAAAAAGCTAATAAAATTTAATTTTCAATAAACAAAAATTAATAGATTATTTTTGAAAAAATGACTTCCGAGCTAAAAGAAAACATTTTCTTTCTCACTACTTGTCTTACTTTGGTGTTTCCCATCTCTCTTTATATATTTTTTAATACTTTTTTCTCCGTCTCTTTTCTTATTAAAATATATCTAATTAATTTTTTATTATTTTTTATAAATTATTTTTTTTATTTTTTTATTTCAACTAACATTTATTTTTTGATATATAAGTACATTAAATATTTTTTAAATCATTTTTATATCTTAAAATTAGTTTTATAATAAATATTTTAATAATTTATCTTCATTTTTTAATGTAATTAACAAACATCAGAAAATATTTTAAAAAAATAAATTTAAAATTATTTTTTTTGTTAAAAATTATTTTTCATTGAACAAACATGAAACAAACGCAGCCTAACAAAAACAAGTTAGTTTTTGGGAGAAAAGTGGAAAAGGACATAGGCAAGGCTAAATAATGGGAAATGGGCACAGTTTTTAGAGAGAGAGAGAAGGCAGAGAGAGGGGGAGGGAGACAAGGCATGGCCCAATCACTAATGAATGTAGTTTAGTGGGATTTTCTGTGACATTATTGAAAAGACAAAAGAGGGTAAGGGTGAAACGGAAGTTAAAGAAAGAACATAAAAAATGAGAAGCACGTGGTATTCATGATGCTTGACTCTGTTTTGGTCTTTTTGTTTGCTTTCTTCTGTACTCGGCGTGATCTTTGAACTTGATTCCAGCTGTTCAATTTGGTAGTGCCACGACTCTACTCTGCGTTTCTGTCAAATAAATAGAATAACAATGACAATTAAACATGGGATGCTCATTGATTTTTTTCTTTTCTTCCAAAAGAAAAAAAAATCTAGTCTCTCTCTACATAATTAGGTTTAATTTATCTTTACATTTTAAAATAAATTAATTATGTTCTTGTGTTTTAAGATTTTTTTGAAGATATTTTTTGACAACTATCAAAAAATATTACGTGATTTACGTATAACAGATTTTATATTGAAAATGCTTCTTTGCTGAATGGATATGTGCAAGTCACTAACAATCACTGTCCTCTTTCGGACAAATACTAAACTCATTTTTTGGATGAAAAATTATGAATTTGTAGTGTTAAACTTGAATTCGATGATTGAAGGATGTTTGCGGTGGTAAGTGGTCGAAAAACGAGTGGTTGATGGATTAAAACTTGATATTGATCTAAAAAAGTTGAGAAAAATGTGGGAAAAAAAATATTAGTTTTAGAGCTAATAGATTGATGAGTTAGACTTGATTTTTGGTTAAATACAAAGGTTTTGATCAGCAAAAATAGAGGTTTTGAGGGTGGCTGCAAAAAATATGAAATTGTTTTATTTTGGAAGTGATTTTGGTCTATGTTTTTTAGTAGAAGAAAAAAGAACAAGAAGAGAGAGAGAGAAAAAAAAAAAAAAAAGGTTGGTGTTTTTCTTTGGTTGGATTCCCGGAAAAAATAAGAGAGAGGGTAGGGATGAGTTAGTATCTTGCTCATGTCTATTTAAGAGATATTTTTGAAATAAAATTCTTCATGTGCTAATTAAGTGATATTTTTTTTATGATTTTGTCGGAAAATATAAAAATAATAGATGGAAAACTCACTTCAAATATGAGGAAGACAATTTGTTTATTTTAAGTTATAATGATAGATTAAACACTTATCTCTTTATATAAAAATAGATTGAATTTTTTATTTTTGAAATGATTTGATTGTAACTTATTCACTCTAATTTATCAAAACTAATTAATTGATCTTAAATTGATGACACTCAAGTATTTTCTAATATAAAATAGTTTCTTAACAAAATTTGAGATTTAATAAAGTTTTTTTTTTATTTTTTAATCCTAACGTATCTCAATCTTAAAAATCTAGACTAATCCTTCACTTATATGTTGGATGGACACATAAGATAGACACGATATTAAAAAAAATAATTTACGTATATAAAAATTAAAAATTAAAATTATTTATTTAAACGATTAAAGTTATCGAGTGAATCTCTTGGGTAATAAAATTATTTCTTTTAACTCAACATATAAGATGCAAATGAATGTAGTATCAACCCTATAACTTTTTTAATGGACGCATGATTAGCATTGTAGGCCCAAAATTATTCAAATTCAAGCTAGGTACCTAGGCATCTAATGCTCTGTCACCCAGGTCAGCCCTGTTGTTGTGGACAGAAAAAGTTGGGTTTGTTTTTCCAAACAAAAAATGGGATTATAGGCCCATTAATATGCTTCCAAATGCTTACCACCGATTATCCAAACCATTAATTTTCAGACAACATAACAATTAATGTCCAAAACAATTTTTTTTTTTTTTTTTTGGTATAGGGCCTTTGTAGATTAAGCCCAACCGAACTTTCTGACCATGACCTGTTTCGCTTCAACAATGGAGGAAAGAAAATTCTAATCCATGTCCCATCATCATTAGAGCTATTTCACTTTTATTGGTGGACAACCCTTTTCACCTCTTCAAGCAAAGATGGAGGACATGAACTTCCCAAGCTTGCTTTCATCAAATGGTGGGGTTGCCTGAATTCTTCATTGTTTCTATATACAGTCTTGTTGATTGAGAAAGAAGTATAGAAAACTTGAGAAAGTGAGATTTGATAAATTATGACTGGTGACCACAACCGTGAGAGACACTGAAGAGTAAGCGGAGTGCATTTGCTTTTCTTTGAAAAAAATAAAAATGGAAGACGCAATAAATTAGAGTAAATTATAAATTAGTCCTCTTTTTAGAAATGAATTAATTGATCCCTCTAGTTTAAAAACTAATTATTTAGTTCTTTAATTAATGTTGATCATGTTTAATTTAATACTACTTTATTTTATAAAATGTCATCTTTTTTCATTAATCATTCCATACTTTTTACTTATTATTTTTTATTTCTTAAAAAAAAATCAAAATAATTCAAATGGGAACAAAAAGGACTAAGTTACAAAAATAAATGTATAGGGACTAAATAATTAGTTTTTGAAATAAGAAGGATTAATTAATTTGTTTCTCCAAACTAGAGGGACTAATTTATAATTTACCCAATAAATTGAGGATTAAATTACGAGTTAATTATATTTTTGGTGTTTTAACTTGCTAATTTTTTTTTTTTAATTGAGTGTACTCTTTGATCTTTGTTATTTCAGCAAGTTGTACTTTTTTTAATTTGAGTATTTTTGTTAGCTATCGTTAAATTTATGCCGATGTGATCGTTAAATGCACACCTAGTTCCAATATGTGAGCCCCACTATTAGACACGTGAAAGAAAAAGATTTATTATTTATTGTTTTTTATACAAATTTGTCAAACTTTTATGTTTGTATGTAAATTTCGATCTTTCTTTGTTTGAATGTATGAACTTGTAAATTTTTCTATTTAAATGGTTTTGTTAATTCTAAACCGACATGTCCGTTAACTATACATGTAGAACCATTATGTGGATCCATTGTTAAGACACATGATAATTAGAAAAAAAAATTATAAAACAACGATCAATTCTCATTGTCAAACGAAGCAACAAAAAGGCCAATAAATTACATAAAAATAATTATATATTTATGTCATTTACATAAAATATTAAAAAAAAGACAAACAAATTACTTAAACATAACCGAGATAGGAAAAAAATGATTGTGAATTAAAATAAAAAGAAAATTGTTTGTGTTCATTTAGAAAAGACAATAATCCATTGCCATTTTTAATAGAAAAATTGAGAATGATAGGTGCTTGAAAGATTAAGATATGAAATTGAGTTTTAATTTGGAGTGAAGGATAGCCTATATCTAGATTGAATAAGATGGATTGATTAGATAAGTGTTTTGTTCAATTATATATATTTATTGGTTGATCCATTCTCATTTTTGTAGTAGTATTTTTTTCAATACAAATTTTGATAATAGGGCCTACATGACGGGGTCATATGCATCGTTAATAGATACATCGGTTGCAGAACCACTCGGGTATAAAATATTATATTTTAATACACTTAAATGGAAAAATCAAAGTTTACACACTCAAATAATAATAATAAAAAAGTTTATACACCAAATAATAATTTTTTTCTCTTTAATTTGTGTGATATTGGAGTCCATATGTCGATGCCACATATGCAATTGATGACCACATCAATATAAAATTAATGAAAACACTTAAATAGAAAGAAATTGCAACTTCATCTTATTAAATAACAAAAATTAAAGGTTAAAGAGTACACACTCAATTGGAAAAAAATTATCAAACTTGGGACACCAAAAATACCATCAACTCAATAATAAATTAGTCTCTCTAGCTATTTTTTTAAGAAACAAATTAATTAGTCCTTTTTATTTCAAAAAATAATTATTTAATACCTTAATTAGTGTTGATCATTTTTAATTTAATAATATATTATTTTACAAAAATCATCTTTTTTCATCAATTCTTCCATATTTTTAATTTTTTCTTTTTCCATTTATTAAAAAAAATCAAAATAGATTGAAAAAATAAAAATAAAGAAGTTACAAGAATATTTAAATATATAAAAATTAAATAATTAATTTTTAAAATAAAAGAAACTAATTCATTTATTTCTCAAAACTAGAGAAAATAATTTATAATTTACTCTCATTAGAGTGCATTTGCCCTTCTATATATATATATCAGAAGCAATGAATTGTCTGAAACTTTGTCAATGAACTTATTTATTTTAACTTCGTTGCTTAAGTTAATATTTGTCCAATCACGAGGATTTTTTTTTTTTTTTTTCATTTGTGATATAGATTATACATGAAACTATATACAATGTAGTGTTTTTAGATGGACATATGACTACATTTAAAAGTCCATGGCTCCAAAGTACGAATGAGATTCATCCAAAACTAGAATTACAAATAGCATCCATACTATGACTCATGATTTTCATGAGTAAATTATGAGTTCTTTTTTTTTTTGAGAAATAAAAAAATTAATTTTATTTATTTTAAAAATTAATTATTTAATTTTTTATTTATATTGATTATGTTTGATTTAATATTATTTTATTTTATAAAATGTTTTATTTTCTTGTCAATTTTTTCATGATATCAAATTATTTTTTATTTTTTTCTATTTAAAATAAACAAATCGAAAAGAAAAGATAAAATAAACAAAAATATCAAATAATTTTTTTAAAAAAATAATTATTTGATTTCTTAAAATTAAAAAGGCTAATTTATAATTTACTTTGATTCTCACATGTTAGCCAAAAAAAAAAAAAAAAAAAAAAACCCTTAATTTTTACTAACTAAACTTCAAAACACCAACTCATTACAAATTTCTTTTTCTAGTCCCGAGGCTAGTCAATCCTAATGTCATATCACCATATCTTTCAGCACACTAACCATGTAGTATTATTTTAATGGTTCAACTATTACCTGTACATTTGAAAAAAAAAAACAAAATTGTCAATTTTATTTCCCAAACAATAAATTTAGAAAAACTAGCAAATGGTGATATCATTCATTAAAAGGAAAAAAAAAAAAAAAAGGTAACAAATGCTCTTAATGCATTCATCAATAAGCCAATTATGGATTGAAAATTAAATATTGTAAGTAATTATTAAATTTTGAATTCCAAATTTGGAATCAATCAACCATTTATACCAATTATTTCATTTATTATATGATTAAATAAAAATTTTGAAATTTAAAAGGATATAATTATTACAACAATTGATCACTTGGAACTAACAATAACTAACCTTGTCCTAAAAGCAGCCTTCATCAAAATACACATTAAAGACAATAAGATCCAAAATTCTTATGCAAAGTAGATATGTCTAAACCTCCAAAGGCACATGCTTGTCATATTTAAGACATAACCCCCACAACTTCTTGTGTTCCTTCCAGAAGACTGTTACATTACAACTCACTTGCACCCAAAAAATGATTAAAAAAAAAAAGAACACCCTCAACTTCATCCTATGTAAGCAACCAATAAGATCAATCCAAGAACCAAAAACCCAAAGAACCCTCCTTTATATACTTCCTTTCATTCTTTCGTCCTCAATTCTCTCTCCCCTTCAGATCCCATCAAGAAGACTAGAAGTCCATTTAAGAAACCTCAAAAAGGTCCAAACTTTGGGGCCAAGATGAGAGAAATTCTTCACATTCAAGGAGGTCAATGTGGGAACCAAATTGGCGCCAAGTTTTGGGAGGTGATCTGTGACGAACATGGGATTGATCATACAGGGAAATACAGTGGAGATTCAGATCTTCAATTGGAGAGAATCAATGTGTATTACAATGAAGCAAGTGGTGGAAGATACGTCCCGCGTGCTGTTCTTATGGATCTTGAACCTGGTACTATGGATTCCGTCAGATCTGGTCCTTATGGGCAGATTTTTAGGCCTGATAACTTTGTATTTGGGCAGTCTGGTGCTGGTAATAACTGGGCTAAAGGTCATTACACTGAAGGAGCTGAATTGATTGATTCTGTTCTTGATGTTGTCAGGAAAGAAGCTGAGAATTGTGATTGCTTGCAAGGTAATTTTTTTTTCAAGATGTTTTTTTTGTGATGTTTTGGATGATTGGTTTTGTTTGTTTTTGAGAAATGAAGTTTGGTTGAATCTCTGGTGATGTGGGTTTTGGTTATTTTGTGGGAACATTAAGGAGTTTGATTGGATCTGGCATTATATTCAGGTTTTTGAGGTTTTCTTTGGTATGTGCAATATGCTGTTGATTTTTGATAAAATGAAAATGGGGGACTTTTCTTTTCAATTTTGTTTGATTTTGCTGGCAAGCTAAATGTCTCTCTATATTGATGGAGATAGAATATGAAATGTATTTTATTTTAGGAATGTGGACATGTTTGTTGAGAATTGATAGGATCTGGATTTCTAGTCATATTTAGATTGGAGATTTAGGGGAAACCTTTGGTGGTTTATCCTGGTGCCACCATATCTTTTGTGCTTTCATGGTTTTCAATGAATTTAATCTGGACTCAATCCTGTTTTCTGGTTCTGCGTACTGCTTCATATGCTATGCTAGTTCTGAATTGTTTCGGCTGGAAACTTGTGTCTTGGGTTTTCACTTCTGAAAACAGATAATGAGAAAATTTATCTTCCGTGGCTTGAAGTATCTAGAATGGTTTATTTAGACTCAAGTTTGGTTTGACGCTCTCGGTTTAGAGTTTAGTTTCTGTCATTTTCATGTGGGTTTTGTTTGCAATTTTCCGCATTTCTCTTAATTTATGGTCATTTAATTGGTGTACTATTAATGTTGTTTATGGTTCTGAATTGTCCTCGCTTGCTGTTGCTACAGTTGAAATTTTTCCATCTGTTTCAAGCATCATTTAATACATTTGGTTGAACAGGATTTCAAGTTTGCCATTCATTGGGTGGAGGCACTGGTTCTGGCATGGGAACTCTTCTTATTTCTAAAATTCGGGAGGAGTATCCTGATCGCATGATGTTGACATTTTCCGTTTTCCCTTCTCCTAAGGTATCTGACACTGTTGTTGAGCCATACAATGCAACTCTTTCCGTCCACCAGCTTGTGGAAAATGCTGATGAATGTATGGTTTTGGACAATGAAGCTTTGTATGACATCTGCTTTCGCACCCTCAAGCTCTCTACCCCCACTTGTAAGTTAATTGAAAATGCTCTCTTTGAACCGTTTTTTTTTTTTTTAAGATTTTAAATTTGGAATTAATTAAAAGAACCATCTAGCCTTTCCTCCCTGAAGATGGAAACTGAATATGGAGATGGACAACAATAGTGAAATGCTTGGTTCTAGTTGGCTGCTCACTTGTTGTTCTCATTGGTGGTTGAAGAAGAATTGATTGCTTTTGACCCACCTTTTTTTTTTGGGTAGTTAGCTCCACATGGTTTGCTGTCTCTCCTTATCTCTAACCTAGACAACCACCATCCCTTTATGCCCCACGAATAAAGATGACAGCAACTTCTATTGTATGTGGTGCTCACTCCATATTTATCCCTCTCTTAAGGATTATGCATTTTCTTTAGGTCAATTATTTGATTGCAGATAGTGCATGTAAATTACTTGCAGACAGATACATAATGTGTGCACACAAGCATGCACAAACACATGCATGCACATTCCATGTAAGATTTTGAAGCAACACGATTTGACTCTGGTACCATATTTTTGTTTTCCCTTGTATCAGTTGGTGATCTTAACCACCTCATTTCTGCTACCATGAGTGGTGTCACATGCTGCCTACGGTTCCCTGGACAGCTGAACTCTGACCTCCGCAAGCTTGCAGTTAACCTTATCCCATTCCCTCGCCTTCATTTCTTCATGGTTGGATTTGCACCCTTGACGTCAAGAGGATCACAGCAATACCGTGCTCTCACCGTGCCTGAACTAACCCAACAAATGTGGGATGCCAAGAACATGATGTGTGCAGCTGACCCTCGTCACGGCCGCTACCTAACTGCTTCAGCCATGTTCCGTGGTAAGATGAGCACTAAAGAGGTCGATGAACAAATGATAAATGTCCAGAACAAGAACTCTTCATACTTCGTTGAGTGGATTCCCAACAACGTAAAGTCCAGTGTCTGTGACATCCCACCAAAGGGTCTGAAAATGGCATCCACTTTCATTGGCAATTCAACTTCAATCCAGGAGATGTTCAGGCGTGTCAGTGAGCAATTCACAGCTATGTTCAGGCGCAAGGCTTTCTTGCACTGGTACACTGGTGAGGGCATGGATGAGATGGAATTTACTGAGGCTGAGAGTAACATGAATGATCTGGTCGCCGAATACCAGCAATACCAGGACGCAACTGCCGATGATGAGGAGTACGAGGAAGAGGAGGAAGAGGACGTTGGTGCTTAAGATAGCTTGAATTCTTTTCAGCATGTCTGAAGTTTGTATCTTATTGGTTCTATTTAAGGGAGTGATTATGTTTCTGTTGTTGGGGGGTCAAAATAGATTGACCTGTTATGTGTATGGGTTGTGGGTCCTTGTATTGGTGAATGGATTTTTGTGAGTGCTTCTGTGTCTTAATTTCAGTGATGGATGTTTGTATTATGTAGATGGGTGTGTTGGGTAATGTCACTTAAAACTTCTAGCATTTGTCTGAGGATATAACCAATCCATAAGGCCAGTCAAGGAAATCAAATTGTCATGCATGATGCAACCCACCATCAAAAAAGTAAGACGTCCCATAAAAAACGAATGTAAAAGGTTTTAAGAAAACTATAATTGAAACTAGGGCGGGCTGGTATTTTTCATTCTACCTTAAAAACGAAGCAATATCAACAAAAAAAAAAAAAAGAAAAAAAAAAGAAAAAAGAAAAGAAAAGATAAAATCAAAATGTTAGTTTACTGTTTTAAATATTATTTATACTGTTTATACAGATTTATGTGTACTATATATATTTTTTTATACAATGCAGTGGTTTTTTTTTTTTTTTTTTTTTTTTGTAATTTTAAAATTTTTTAAAGGCATTTATTATAAAAGTTTTTATGGTATTATATTTTGGTTTTTTTTTTTTAAATATTGTTTTTTAGGCTCTTAAATTTTTTTTTTGTTTTATTTTGGTCTCTCTTTTTTGTTTCGTTTTGATCACTTTGGTCTTTTTTTTCCTATAATTTTTTAATTAAAAATATTAAGGCAAAAAGATGTTTAGAAAAAAATAATTTATAAAATAAGTTTTTAGCTAATAATCCATTTATTTTGACATTTTTCTTACATTGTTATATTTTTTTTAGTTAAAAATGTGATAAATAAATAATATTTTTTAATAATAAATTTATGAAAATATAAAGAATAATTAGTCAAATACAAATTTTTTTGTTTACAAAATTATAAAATTAAATGAATTTTTATTCAGTTTTGAGTTGATATATTTTGGTAAACGCATAATATAACGCGAGATATTAAACTCGAAATAATTTTTTAAAAATAATTTTAAATGTTCCGTCCGACTCGCAATGTAACATGGGTATGGATAAAAAAATTGTGAAATCAATGCCATCTTAGTTTAAATGGTGACTCATTTTGGAATTTTCAATCAAATATCGATCGAGATGTATCAATTATTTCGATATCATTCTCGTTTCGTGTCAATGTAACATGGATATTTATTCAAACTTATAACTATCTAAATTTTGTATTTATAAATTAAAATAACAAATCCTTGATTTCTTTACATATCACTAAAAGATCGAAATTATTTTATTTAAACAACGAAAATAATGCTTGATTTATTTAGTTCGTGTTAGATTACTTAATTCATAAGTTAACTTTTAACTATTTCTTTACTTTTTAGATGTTTGACATTTTGTTAATTTGAATTTAATTATTTTTGGATATTTAGATTGTAATTTGTTTATACTAATTAACATGCAACTTTCGATATTTAATTTTTTTTTATATATAATACTATATGAAGGATTCGGAAATGAAATGTTGAAATGCTGAAAATTTTGTACCACTAATAAATCCGCAACAATATTGATAACATTGATTGGAATTGCATATGCAGGTGTACGCAGACCATATTAACTCTCAAGGGGTTTAAGGTGGTCAAAAAAGTTTTTTTATTTTTTGAAGTTTGAATCTTGAAATTAAAATTAAGGAGAATATATTCATCTGAATGTATTAGATTAATGTGAAGGATGTATTTTTAAAATAATTTAGAAAAATTTGAACTCGATTGATGCATAAAACCTGAGAATAACTTTGACCGACGAATGGAGAAAAAAAAGAAAAAAGGTTTGGATGATATTACTTGTTCATTATTGATGTGAGGTCAAGTCATTTTACTTATACCTCGCAATCTATTCTTTAATTATTGCTGATTTTTCTGTTTAACTCTCAAGTTGCATTGCATTCGCATTTGCATTGAGGGAGTTTGTGAGTTAGTGACTATTGACTATTGCCATATACTAACTTATAAGGTTAATAAAATGAGAGAGTAAACTCTATTTTTAGGAAACGAATTAATTAATTTTTTTTTATTTTAAAAATTAATTATTTAATATTTTAATTATTGTTGACTATACTTAATTTAATATTTTTTTAAATTTCATCTTTTCTTATTAATTCTTCCATATTTTTTTTCTTATTATTAAGTTATTTCTTAAAACAAGAATCAAAATAAATTGCAAAAAAAAAAAAAAAAAAAAAAACAAAAAACAAAAAGAATTAAGTTACGAAAATAATTTAAAACTTTGAGGATTAAATAATTAGTTTTTGAAATAAGAAGGATTAATTATTCTGTTTTATGAAACTAGAGGAATTAATTTATAATCTACTTGAAAATGAGATAGGTCTAGAATTCAAATCTCAATCTTGCCACTTAAAAAAAAAAAAAATCAAGATGGTGCTAGTTGCATAACGATAAATACCAAGGCTGAGACAAAATAAAACTATATATTGCAAACTTTTGGAAATGAAATAAGTCCGATCATGAAAGAAAACAATTCTAAACTTATTTTCGAATTATGCTTGAAGTTTGTGGATTATGGCTTCCTCCACCTGGAAAGCCTTGGTCAGAATATCATCAGGAATGGATGAATTGATTCCATATACAGAAAAGAAAGATAATTCAATTTAGTAATTAAATGTCAGGGGCTGTTCGTCAGGCATCATTAGCAAGAGACTGAAAAACCCATATAAGTATTTAAAGGTTTTTTTTTTTTTCTTCTTCTTTTTAAGAGATAGGGGGTGTAGTAATAATAGCATCCTTCAGGTTACCACGTACACCTAATCCACTACTTTTTAGATTAAATCAATTCTAGAACATATTTATTTTTTAATCGATTACTAGATTGTCTCTTAAGTCAAATCAACTAAAATTTGATACCACGGAGAGATAGTTATGATTAATTATATATGGATAATTAAAATTGAACTTTGGCTTTGATTAAAGAAAGACAACCTTCTTACTGCTAGCTAGACGGCATTTCTTGATAAGTATTTGAAGCATTTAGCTACCATCTTACATGCATGTTAGCATCTTCAATTCAAGATGAATATAACCAGAAGTGCTTCCTTTTACTCCAAACGTCTTCATTGCTCAAAGGATGCTTAGTAACTTGGACTATATACAGTCCAAATTCTGATGTCTCCACAAGTGCAGCCTCTTAAGCTATGCTAAGTGTATTTTCGACAGTGCAAAAGATAATTTGTGGACTTAATCAACCTACTTAGCTGCACAAGCTTTCCGCTTGCAAAAATCCAAGCTTTACATTGCTCCGCGTCCTGGTTTTGGACACAGGCTATTGTCTCGAATCCGAGTATAGTTCTTTTGTTTTATATGGCCAAACTGTGGCTATTGGAGGAATTGGGAAATAACGTTATTCTATCACTCATTATTACAATATTGCAATGAAAATGAATATAAATCACTAGAAACAAAGTTTAGTCCGGTTAGTTTAATTGCTGGAGGCATTTTAAATTTTAATTCTGATATAAATGTTATGAGAATTTATTCGAATGTGGATATGTGTAAAATGCATGATGTTGAATTTGGTCAACTTATTTATATATCCATTAAGTTTTCAATGTAATTTGCATACGAATATTTTTTATTCACAAAATACCTATGCAAATGAGTCAATTATAAGGGTTTTTTTTGTGCAAATCGTGAAACTAAATCTAATAATTTAGCTTGAAAATGTTGTTATAAGAACATATTAGACACTTAATGTCTATTAAAAGATAAAATTAATTCAACCAAAGATATAAAAATATATTGAAAATTTTTTCTATTATATAAGTACATTTTAAACCATTAACACTATTATTTTATCAGCACCTGCAAACTTGGTTTAATGTTGTGTAGTCAATAGTTTTCTTTTTTGAAGTAAAATTCGAGTATGAATGACAGTAATTTCTATAATTTTAAACTAACTAGAGATGACGACTCCTCATCTTATAGTCGAAGTCCTTTTAAGCCTCCAATAAAAGGAGGAGGGGGGGGGGGGGGGGGGGGGGGTAACCTTTACCGTAGTAAAAGAATTCAAACATGCTCCTTTTCTTGATTACGGTTAGCAATAAGTGTTCTGGCGGGATTATACTAAAGTTTGGTCTTCTAAATTCTACAAGTTTTCTTTAGCTTAGCTGAATTTTTGAGTCAATATTTAAGGCATCTTATGCTACATAGAGAAACAAGTTTTCAAGCAATAAAAATTCTAGAAAAGTTTTCTCAATTTGTCTTGCTTATTCTTGTGTTTTTGTGTAAGATTTGTGTGTGATATTCTCGTGTTTGCTTAGGATTTCATGTTGCTGTATCGTTGACATTGATTACCGACGGTGGTATTTTGTTCGATCAATAAAATATTACAAAATAATATAAATCATATCTCGAGTATTTCACTTATCATTTTAAATTTTTAGGTGTAATGGTTTTTTGATATAGTATTAGAGTCTTAATGATCAAACGATCGTAAATTCGAATCCTACCATTCCTACTTTCTCTTCTAATTAATTAAATATAAGGTAATGTGGGTTTGTATAAGTTTTAAGCCGAAAGAGCTTTCACTTGAGAGAATGTTCTAGAGAATAATATAAACAACTTTTGTGTGTGATGGTTTTTTGACACAAAGTAGCTTAGATTATAATGAGGTTTAAATTTCAGCTTTTATCAATTGTTAAGTCTCCTTTCCGAGTTGGGAAGGTAAGTAAAGCAAGCATTTACACTAAGACAAACAAGCAACTTGATTTCCTCTATCCTGCAATAATTCAAGTCTCATTCTTGCCATCATCAAAAACCAAGACTTAAACAGCATAAGGATATTTATTGTTGCTTAAGGTAGTGCGGTACATAGGATAAATCCCAAAGCAGAAACTTTCTGCTATCATAACTGGGAACATTTTGAAAACAATACTGATCAGCAACAAAGCCAATCCAATACATAATCTCGATTACGATCGAAGTTCGCGAATTACGGATTTGTCCACCTGAAAAGCCTTGGCCAGAATCTCATCAGGAATGGATGGATTGGTTTGAAACAAACCAGGAACCATAACGACACCTGGGTTCTGGCCGCTAAAGGTAGAGATCACAGAAGCAGGTGCATTCCCTACATTATACAAGAAGTGAACGAGTCCAATGGGAAAGACAAACACATCACCCTTTTGAATTACCTTTGAAATGAGCCTGTTCAGCGGGTTTGAGGTGACAAAGCCAACAAATAAGCTGCCTTCCAAGACGGTAACAATTTCACTTGCTCGAGGGTGTGTGTGGGGTGGAAGCACACCTTCTGTTGCGAAGTCTGCTCGAGCAAGATTGATCCCAAGGGTGTTCAGTCCAGGTATTTGAGTAGGTCTGGGACCGAATCCAAGGGCATTTGATGTGTTGCCGGGTACATGGAGTCCACTGAAAAAGAAATGGTCGGCATTTACCAGCTCCGGATCCAAACAAGCAAAGCCATTGATTGTTACTGCAATCAACATCAAACATGTAAATAAGTGAAACAAACACACACACACAATGTAATAATGATGCTGCATCGACTAGAAGTCCCACGCTTCGAGGAGGTCAGCCACGTAACATATTTGGCCCAACATCATCGACTAAGTAGCAAATTCCTTGAAAAAAATACAAGTAACAACAACATTGTTACTCTATAGATATACTCGTACAAAAATTTATTTACACCAATCCCCACCTGAATTAGAATGTTCCGCGACGCAAAAATCTTGCAACGGACTAGGATCCGAGGCAGTGACAGGGGCAGAAATGATGGCTAACAAACTCACGATGATCAAAATGTGGGTGGCCATTTTAATTCTTGGAGGGTATTAGACTGATAAACTAGTACGATACTGATGAAGTAGCTAGCTTGGTGATTCGATGTTATGGTACAAGGATTATTTATAGGGAGCTTAAAGAGTTATTTAACATATGTCATCAACAGTTCAAGAATTATTCCTTGAAGGAAGCAGCTGCCGTCCTAGGCCTATAGTGGAAGATTATAGCATCTTCCATTCAAGCCGAATGGAGAGTATAACATTTTAAACCGAATGAATCCATTGATATGTGACTCTCCATGTCCTAATGTCAGTCCAATTTTTTTGTCTTCCCATGCATAGCTTTACTATCAAAACCACTATCAGCCTTCCGATCTTCACGAGCTTTCTAGCCACGTGCATAAATCCCAGCTTTAAATGGCCAAGCCTCCAAGTTTTGGATATAGGCTTTTGTATATGTTGGAATAATGTCTTAAATTGTGTACATGGCTTGAAATGATTGGTAGTTTATGTAGGTATACAAAATCATGGCCTTGTTATTGGTATGTTTCCATGTTTTATTTAAAAAATTTTTAAGTTAGAGATTCATAACCTCTTGTTTTTTGTTTTGTTGATCTTTCAAAAGGTTAAATTTTACTCGTATAGCTTTTTTAGTAAAGTTTTATTCCTAGTGACTTTCAATTTTTTTCCCATTTTACATAAAAAATATGACTAATTATATTCGGAATAGAAAAGATAATATTTAAATTCTCCCAACAAATGCAACTCTAGGATTCTCATCTTACATATTAACAAAAAATTCATGTAGGAATCAGCTCGTTTATTACTTGGGCTAACAATTTGTTGGTAGTGACTTTCAATTGTTTTAGTGATAACTAGTTAGATACCGACATTACACTATGGTTAAATAATCATTATACATACAAAGTTAATGATTCGTATGTTATGATACAAGTAGATGTTTTGTTTTTAAAAATTAATATAAATCGAATCTATATATTGAGCGAATTTATTTGATTTATATATATTTATTAACAAGATAATTGATAATATTAGTATAAAAATTTACATTTTTATAAATAAATACATAAATGGATTCATAAAAAAAAAGGAAGAGAGAGCGATTCAAACCATCAATAATTCACAAAGAACTATACTAATTTTCAAAACTGGAGCTATCTAGCACTTAGCTGGTATTTTTTGTTAATACTTTTTCAAAAAAAAATTGATTTTTTAATAGAATTATTAATCATCAAAATGGATTTTAATTAAGAATATTTTAAAAAAGTGCACTACTTAAAGTTTTGACCAAACAAATATTTCAAATAAATGTAAATAAAAAGGTATACAAACTTAGATTGATTTAACTTAAAAAGTAGTCTAGTGCTCGACCAAAAACTAGACATGTTTTGAAATTAATTTAGTCCAAAAAATAATAAATTTAGTTTCGATTAATATAAAAATTAATTTAAAAAAACTCAATTATTTGCAAATATCATGAAAAAAAACAATTTATTTGGAATAGAAAAAGTGAGAAAGATACCCTAAAAGTGACGTCCAATTTCGTTTACCAAATGCCACGTAGCTAATAAGTTGAAGTTGAGTTACGTCACCGAAGCAGGCATCGCACTATTCTTTAGGACCCATTTGCAAATGTTAGCCTTCCCTCTTTTCTAGTTAGGCTGGCCGGTAAATTAAGCAAGCATTTAGACCGAGAGATTAAACTATTTTCTTCTCTGTTACTGTACGATTATGAGGAAATGAGATTTACAAGAATTTTTCACAAACTATTCGAACACTCAAAATATCGAAAGAGTATTTACTTGATCACATTCTTGCAAAAAAAGGACGATGGGGGCAGGCCCTTCTTTGATGTCCTGTTTTTACAATAATAATAATAATAAAATAAAATAAAAAATCATCAAGACAAGTCTGGTAGCTTACAACAAACACTAAAACTTGTGAAAACAAGGAAAGGCTAATGTGTTGTTCTGTGTTTATTGATACGAGGAGTGAATCATTTTTTGGTATTTTTTATTACCAACTTTTGGAAGCAACACTAAACATGATTACATGAACAAGGGAAATTCAGAATTATCTTTTGAACCGTGCTTGAAGTTTGGCAATAGTGAGCTTGTCGACTTGGTAAGCCTTGGCTAGAACATCATCAGCAATGGGTGGATTGGTTCCAAACACAGTACTAGGAATGGGAATGAAACCAGGATTCTGGCTGTTCAAAGAAGCAATAGCAGCTGCGGTTCCATTTCCCACATTACTCAGGAAATGAGTAAGTCCTATGGGAAAAACAAAAACATCACCCGTTTGTAAGACCTTGGAGAAGAGCCTGTTATCTGGAAAAGATGATACAAACCCAACAAGGATGCTTCCGTCTAAGACGGTAACAATTTCACTTGCTCGAGGATGAGTGTGAGGAGTGACTAGACCTCCCTTTGCAAAGTCAAAGCGAAGGAGTGTTATCCCAAGGGTGTTTAGGCCAGGTATTTGGGCCACAGAGACAGAGGTAACAGCAGAGCCAGACGGATTTGATGTGTTGCCGGGAACATGGAGACCTCCAGAGAAGAAATTGTCAGCCTTTACCAGCTTTGGATTTATGCAATCTAGGCCATTAAATCTTGCTGCCATAATCACAAAAGAATATGTCATATCTCATGTACCAACTAAACTTTTGCTACATTTTTAACAAACAAAGTATTCTTGAACATGGTTTCTTATAGTGAGATTTTTTCACCAACTGATCATTCATATCCAAATCGATACATTCTTAAAAATTTCTTTCTTGCAACTTCCATTATATTGTGGGAAGAAAATCCAATTTACGATATTGCTTTTTATCATTCGGTCTGACCAGTCCTCTAACTACATGAAGATAAAAAATTTCTTTTTCTTTTTCTTTTTTCTTTTTTTTATGATGAAAATCGATATTAGATAAAAAAAAAATGAAAGAGCCAAACTGACAGCAGACAAAACAAAATTCATTATAATTAACTGAAAATACAGATACTATAGAAAACAAATGGCTATATAATGAAACTACAGATTGATTGATTCATTCTGCACTAAAAAAAATAGGCAATTAGAGAAGGATTTTTGCGACGAATTAAATTCCGTCGCCATTTAGGTATCGAGTAGCAACCGATTGACAGTAAAGTCAAAAATGTATCATTTAGCAATGGTTTAGTGACGAAAACTTTCCGTCACTATAGAGCTCGACAAAAATCCATACCAAATTCAACGATAAAATTGCAACGAGCAAGGAAATTTAGCTAGCGTTAGTAACAAACATTTTAACAATAGATTTTTTTCATCACAAGTCCGTCGTTAAATGATTTTAACAACAATTTTCCCTTATTAGCGATGGAAAAATCCGTCGCTACCTGGCACTTCTTGTAATGCTATATGAAGATAAAGCTTTGACTCTAGTTCACGACCATGACTCGAACATAAAATAAAAGGGAATGACTTAAAATCAAATGAAAGCATAACTAATTTCTTGAATATAATTAAAGCTAATTGCAGTGTAATTATTTGTAGATTAGTTAGATCCATACCTGAGCTATTAGGGTCTGCAACACAGAAATCTTGCAATGGACCAGGCTCAATACCGGCTGCGGCCATAGAACAAGTGATGGCTAGGAAACTAAAAATAACCAAAATGTGGCTAGCCATTTCGATTAATTTTTTTTGGGGTATTATCAGAGACAAAGGGGGATTGAGGCAAAAACCGAATGGACAAAGTTGAGAACATTAGAGAGTAGATTATATATATTTTTTGAGAAAGGAGTTCATACAAGGTGGAATAAAGTTTTTGATTTGTTACCTAAAATGTTCAAATTCAAATATATTTTTTTCATAAGTATTTTAAACAAAATTAATTTCACTCTCAGATATACCTATACATAAAGAAAGAGAAATCAAAAGTTAAAATTTCTCAAAACCATTCAATGTAAATAAATAATATTTATTCTTTGATGCAAAAGATGCATTGAATCTAGACGATAACATAATCGTTACACACTTAAAAAAATCACATTGATTTTGAAAATAATGTTTTGAATGAAATGAGGGAAATAAAATAATAAGAAATTAAGTTATTTCTATTTTTATCATATATATACCAGATTATGATAATTTAATTTGAATTCGAATTCATCTATTATATTTATATATATATTTGCATAACATAATTTGATTGTTTTTTCTTTGCTGAATTTTTTTAATTTAAATATTGTATATTGTTTTCAAAAAAATATAGAATTTTTTTTCCTTCATAAAAGCTAGTTTCAGTATGATTTATTTATAAAGTTTTAAACCGAATGGACACTCAAATGATAATCAATCCTAAAGCCTAAATATTTTTTTATTTTAACATTCAAGGAGGTTGAGAAAGTTAGAATGATCATACTTATAAATAAAAATAATCGAAATTTACGGCCTTCAATCAACCTCCACCAAAAAAAAAAAAAAAAAAAAAAAGGTTTATATATTATTTTGGATAAGATTAAGCAGAAGCGTGTCACCCGTTCACGAGGGGGCTTTGGGCGGCCCCTAAAATTTTCAAAAATTTCACTTAGTCCCTATAGTTTAGCATGGTTTTAAGATTGATCTCTGTATTCTTTGATATTCTAATTCGAGCTCTTGAAATAATTTTTTTGTTTTTTTTTTCCCCTTGAAAGTCTTTTTATATCTAACTTGCTAATTCGAAACTTCTAGACAAGGAGAAACACTAATCTCGGTTGAGCTAGAGCTCATTTTTCGAGTACCCACTAGCAAATATTGCTAGTCTCTCCAAGCAGATAACCAAATAAAGCAATCATTTACACCGAGAGACAAATAAACAACTTGCTTTCCTTCATCTAGTAATAATTCAAGTTTCATTGTTTCAACAATCGAAAATCAACAAAAACAAACCATGAAACGAAATCTCTCATAACAACATAAGGATTTCTGTATATATATAGGATAAATCTCAAAGCAGATATTTTCTGATATTTAGACTGCCAAGTTTTTTCAACGATGAAGCCAATCCAAGACATACAATCCATTTATGGTCGAAGTTGGCGAATTATGGATTCATCCACCTGGAAAGCCTTGGCCAGAATATCATTAGGAATGGATGGATTGGTTCCAAATAGATCAGCAACCACAATGAAACCTGGGTCCTGGCTGCTAAAAGAAACAATTACAGAAGCTGGGCTATCGCCTACATTATACAAGAAGTGAATAAGTCCCTTGGGAAAAACAAACACATCACCCTTTTGAACTACCTTCGAAATGAACCTGTTTTCTGGGTTTGAGGTTACAAAGCCAACAAGCAAGCTGCCTTCTAAGACGGTAGCAATTTCAGTTGCCCGAGGGTGTGTGTGGAGAGGGGCTACACCTCTCGGTGCAAAGTCCCCACGAGCCAAAGCGATCCCAAGAGTGTTCAGTCCAGGTATTCGGACACTATTGGCACCAAATCCAAGGGGATTTGATGTGTTGGTAGGTACATGGAGTCCCCTGAATAAGAAACGGTTGGCATTTACCAGCTTGGGATCCATACAAGGTAGGCCATTGATCCTTACTGCAATCATCATAAAACATGCAAGTAATTAAGTGGACATAATAAGTGCCAGTACTAACTAATTTGTTTGAAAAATTACGAGGATATGCTCATATATAAATTTGATTAGATCCCAACCTGAGCTAGAAGGATCGGCAACGCAGAAATCTTGCAATGGACTAGGATCAGAGGCAGTGGCCAAGGCAGAAATGATGGCTAAGAAACTTGCAATGACCAACAAAATATGGCTAGCCATATCAATTCTTTTAGGGCACTAGAGAGACTGGTAAACTATTGTACTGATGAAGTATCTACGCAAGAACTGTTATATATTGTGATGGATCAACAGTCCAAGATTTAGTCTTCGAAAGAACTTGCTGCCGTCCAATGCCTACATCTTTTTTTTAAAGAGTCTAGCATGTTCAATCCAAGTGTCCAAGATGCTCGTATGTGACTCTCCAGCCAGTCCCAGTCTCCCTGCAGGGTTCCTCATAGCTGCCATATGGATAGGTTGTTGTCTTCTTATGTGCAGCCTCTTATGCTGAATGTTTTTTTTTTTTTTTGTGTAATATAATCTATATAGACTTAATCAACCTACCAAATATAAGTATTCTGCTTGTGGGAATCCAACATTTAAATTGCTTTGAGTCCTTGTTTTAGAAATCAGTTGTTGCGTGGAATCCAAGTATGGTTTGATATGATCTGACCGTTTCATATTTTATTTTAAAGTTGAATTTCATTAATACTTTTTCTTTCCTAAAGAGGTTATTATCTTTGACTTTTCATAGAATTAAAAACGTTATTAATAAAAAAACAATAAAAAAAACAAACGGATTCATCGAGAAAAAACTAGAGAAGGATTCAAAACCTTGATAATTCGCAAAGAACTATACCAATTTTCAAGATTGGAGCTATCAGCCACTTGGCTGGTTCATACGTTTCCAAATACTTTTATTTTTTCTAATAGATTTATTAGTCATTAAATGAACATTAATTAGATATTTTAAGAAAGTACATTATTTAAAGTTTTGATTAAATAAACATTTTGATATAGATATAAATAGAAATGTCGACAGGCTTGGATTGATTTATCCTAAAAGACAGCTTAGTGATCGATTAAAAATTAAGAATATTTTAATGTTGGCTTAGATCGAAAAGTGATGAATTTAGTTTTGATTAGTGCAAAAATTGATTAAAAAATAACCCATTTTCTATAAATATCAAAAAGAAAAAAAAAAAAACCAATCTCTTTAAGACAGAAAAAATACCCAAGTTGCTAATAAGTGAAGTTGTGTTGCGTCACCGTAGCAGGCACTGCACTATTCTTTAGCACCCAGGAGGAAATGCTAGCCTTCTCTGCTTTCTAGCTAAGCCGGCCGGCAAATTAAGCAAGCATTTAGACCGAGAGACTATAACTATTTTCTTCTATGTTCCTGTACGATTACGATGAAATGAGATCTACAAGAATTTTTCACAACTATTCAGACACTCAAAATATAGAAAGACTATTTTCTTGACCTCGTTCTTGCAAAAACAGGATGAAGGGGGCAGGTCCTTCATTGAAGTCCTGTTTTTACGACCTCAAAGGAAAAACTCATACTCTATATTTAAGATTTTTTCACCATCGGACGATTTATATCCAAATCGATACATTTACGGGAATTTATTTCTTACAATCTCCATAAAACTCATGCCCTATATGATAATGTGGGAAGGAAATCCAGTTCACGATATTATTTTTTATCCGTCGGTCCGACCAGTCTTCTAAATACATGAAGATAAAGCTTTGATTCAGAACAATAATTTATTCTTAAATGCTAGATTCAAAATTTGAATTAAAAAAAATTAAAGAATGAAAACAAATCTTTTTAAAATTTTAAAAATATTATTAAAAAATAAAATAAAATAAAAGAATGTAAGTAGATTTGTAGCCATCATTGAGTTATTATTATATCAAGTATTTCCAGTTTCTAAAACAAAATTCCAAACCGTAGACTTTGACTGATCAAACTGGGCAATAACATTTTCTTCAATGCTTTTTGTTTAACCAAAAGGCATTATTCTAAACATTTATGTCTGAATTCAAAGCAGATTAGGTAAGTTATTGTTCATGTTGATAGCATAAAAGGGCAATATTTTTAAAGCCAAGATTTGAAAGATGATTATATTTAAGTAAGTAAGTCGACATAATTTAACGGTTATGTATCTAATAAATTTTTTTCATAAAATAAGTTCGTGTCACAATAAATTCAGTTTATTTTTATTATTATGTAATGGAGGATGGCTATCTCCGTGGGTTGTGTAAATCAAGATCTAGGAGCCTTCCAATGAACTTCAAACAAATTGGTCAAATTAAATTATTGATCAGAACAGTTTTTGTCTCCCACTTGCTATTGAAAAGAGGCTGATATTGGGATCGAGCGGTAGGTGCTCGTTCTCCCTTAAGCAAGGTCTCGGGTGCGAACCTTGTGCATGGAGCTGCTAATGTTGGGAGAGCTTTACCCCCTTGGGGGACCTCCCGGCTCGAATCCGGATTAGTCAGGGCCCAATGTGATCTACGGATACCGGGTGCTCGAAGGAAAAAAAGAAAAAAAGAGAGGCTGATCACCTAAATAAGGAAGTCTTATCCTTATCCTAGTGGTCGCAAGGAGATGCTAAAATATTCATCGAAAAGATTAATGAGACTAATAACATTTTTCCACTAGCTTGGTATCAATGATATGCTGCGGTTAGACATCTTTTATATACGTAGTGTTAACGATTCGTATGATATATTATAAATAAAATTTTTATTTTCGATAATTAATGAAAATCGAATCTATATATTGAGCAAAATCGCTTGATCTATATATATATAGTTATCAACAAAATATTTAATAATATTAACATAAAAATTTGTATTTGAATAATTGAAAAGTTCTTTCAAAACATTATGTAACTTATTTTATTTTAAAAAATAAATTTTAGAATATAAAAAATAAATAATAAAGAATTGGTATTATGTGTGCGGATTTATAGTTTATATATATATATATATATATATATATCATACTTAATAGATTCAAAGTATAAAGAATAAATATAAAAATATACAAAAAAAATCCACATAAATTGTATGAAATATATTGAAGAAAATAGACCAAAAAAAACTACAACAAAATTGATTTAAAAAAAACTATAACAAAATTAATTCTGATAAATTCTATATATATATATAACATGTGAATTTTTTTAAAAAAAAATTAAGCCAAACTATCTAAAACATACTTCTCTCTCTCTCTCTCTCTCTATATATATATATAACATGCTATTTTTTTTAAAATTGAGCGAAACTAATCTAAAACATACTTATCTCTCTCTCTCTCTCTCTCTCTCTCTCTCTCTCTCTCTCTCTATATATATATATATATATATATATATATATATATATATATATATATATATATATATATAATCGAAATTACAGATTATAATAATATATTTTTAAAATATAAAACACAAACGTTTTAAAATTTTATTCCAAAATTCATATATTAAAAAAATTATTAACAAATAAAATTATATTAAAAAATTAATTTGATGAGAATTGAAATAAGAAATAAATAATTGAAGAAATAAATTTTAAACAATAAGAGTAATATAATCAAATATATATATTCAAACTAAAATATTAAAAAATATCATATATATTCTATCATCTTCAAACCGTACGTAAAACTAAAAAAATAAAATTTATTTTTTATATTTTTCACAATTAATTTCATGATAATATATATATGAAGAAAAAAAAAGACCGGACTCGCTAAATTGTATGAAATATATTGAAGTCAATATATTAAAATAAAAAACTATAATAAAATTGATTGCAATAAATTCTAAATAAATATATATAAAATAACAAATAAAAATTATGAGGGATCGATTATTAATTTTTTCAAAAAATTAAGCCAAACTATTTAAAATATACTCTTAGCTCTCTTTCTCTATATGTGTGTGTGTGTGTAAATTTATATAATCAAAATTTATAAATTATAACAATATATTTTAAAAAACATCAACGTTCTAAACTTTTGTTCTAAAATTCATATATTAGAAGACCAAATTTAGTAACAAATAAAACTATATAAAAAAATTAATTTGATTAGAATTTTAATAACAATCAATTAATTGAAGAAATAAATTTTAAACAATAAGAGTAAAAATTAAAAAAAGAAAAAAGAAAAAAGTAATAGTGAAAAAAAAAAGAAAAAAAAACTAAGATTGAGTAGTATAGTATGAGGGTAAAGTAAATCATCGACCAGATGTGAAAAAAATAATGATCAATTTTTTAAAAATTTTAATACTCAATCAAATAAAAAAAGAACATAAATTGATGAGAAAAAAAAGACATATAGTGCATCGGCTAGGGATTAAAATTTTTATTTTAAAATTTTAGAGATGAAAACGAAATAATTTTAAAATTTTAAAAAAACCTAAGAAAAAAAAACTAAGGGTGAAAATTCATAATAATATAAACTAAATAATTTAAAAAAATTAAGAAAATAAGTAAGAGTGAAAATTAAAAAAGAAGGGAAAGAAAAACTAAGGTTGAGTAGTATAGTTAAGGGTTAAAATTAAAAAAAAAAAAAACAAATTGTTCAAGTGAACAATACTACGTGATGGTTACTATTCATACTTGTTCATTCGAATAGTAAAACCACCACGCTTTTTAGTTTATAAGTAATAAGGTTTGCTTCATCAATATTTGTGGCATGTCATATCCAATATAGTTTTTTAATGAGAAATTTTATAATACTGAAAATAATTAGTGTAAATTACTTTATATGGAGAGATAGATACAAAAAAGAAAAAGAAAATTCAAAAAAAAATTTAACTAACGTAAAAATCTTTTTATTACTTTTGGTAAGTTTATAATTTTTTATATGTCTATCTCTTTTCTTAAAAGTGAATTCATAGATTAATTATTATATATGTACAGTAATTACTCATAAGTATTATAAGTGTGGGTTTCTTCCTATAGAAAATAGGGGAAATTTCAAATGTAGATATGTGAATTTAAGAAATAAAAGCTGCTTTTGTATTGATCGAAATTGTTAGATTTCATGCAAATTTAATATCAGATGTTGGCCTTCTGACATCAATCAAGGCCAACTTTTCTACTTAAGAATAAAGTACGAAAGATAGCTTCAAGTACTAAAACAAGTGGGATAGATCAAAGTAGAAGGTTGGCGTCAAATAGCACATAGAAACATAAAGACTTGATCAAAGACATATCCATAAAAAGCTAACCTTCGTGACTAAGTTAAGGATTAGTCATCCTGATCATGTATCAGTTGAATGGGATAATTTCGTAATTATTGTCAAAGTCTTTCATCTAAACCACGTAATGATTGAGAATATAGTTTATAGTTGATAGAGACAGATAACCAAAACCAAGCAGAACACAGTGGATTCAAGAAAGTAAAAAACAGAGAAAACAGAGTAGGTTTAAAATAAGAACAGAGAGCAGAGTAAATTCAAAATCACAAAGGAAAAGATTCCTAAGGCTAAGTCTTGAGATGTGTCGCTACTCGACATATGTGACTTCCAGACTAAAAAGAACTAAAATGAAGTTACCATTTAGTTATTAAAGGAGACTAAAAATCCTAAAAATGCACTGATTCAAGAGGTCAAATTGGATCATGACAAGATGGATGGTAATCTAAACCACCTATTGATTGCAAATAACCTGGAAATTTCTGTCATTCAAATGACTTGAAATATTTTAAGCTCTTTTTATGGTGATTTGTTGAATAACTGTGTGTATTTGATCTTCCTCGAAAATTCAAACTTTGAATTTGAAGCTGGAATTAAACTTATAGCAAGAAGATAAAGTGTTTATTTTAGAAACAAAATTCAAAAGGCTGGACATTGACTAATGAAAAATGAAATAGAATATAGAAAATACACTGAAAATAGTGCATATTAAGCCCTCAGAATCTGGAGATAATCCTTTTTATGAAGGAAATGCAGAAAGTTTTTTTTTAATATTAACAGTCAATTTTTACTTCAAGTTTCTTGCGGGGAAGTTCCTTTTTGTTTAATTTCTTATTCAATTTGAACTTTCCAGCTCTTTTCATTCTCGTTTCACTTCTGCCTTGAGAAAAAATTCTCCTTGATACTATAAGTAGGGGAGTCCAACGCAGGCTTCTATGCTCAAAACACAAGCAAATAGAGGTAAGAGAAATGACATCTCTGAACTCTTCAATGCTGTCATTTCTACTTTGTCTTCTCCTTTCATTCTCATGGGCAACACCAGCTCACCCTAATGAGGATTTTCTGCAATGCCTTTCCCTTCATCTTGAAGACTCCGCAGCCATTTCAAATGTTCTTTACACCCCGAAAGACTCCTCGTATTCATCTATCTTGCAGTTCTCAATACGAAACCTCAGGTTCAATTCTTCTGAACTAAAACCTCTTGTCATTGTTACACCAACGAATGCATCACACATTCAGGCTACAATTCTTTGTTCCCAAAAACATGACATACAGATTAGAATTCGGAGTGGGGGGCATGATTTTGAGGGTCTATCTTACATGTCTGTTCTCCCATTTGTCGTTGTCGATCTTATCAATCTCCGAAACATCACAATAGATGCAACGAATAAAACTGCGTGGGTTCAGGCTGGTGCTACACTAGGGCAATTATATTATAGTATTGCTGAAAAAGGTAGAACTCTTGCGTTCCCAGCAGGTATTTGCCCTACTATAGGGGTTGGAGGACACTTTAGTGGGGGAGGATTTGGCATGATCTCGCGTAAATATGGCCTTGCTGCAGATAACGTAATTGATGCTCAATTAATTGATGCTAAAGGCAGGATCCTTGATAGAGCATCAATGGGTGAAGACTTGTTTTGGGCCATCCGAGGTGGGGGAGGTCAAAGCTTTGGAGTAGTTATCGCATGGAAAATCAAGTTGGTTGAAGTTCCACCTAAAGTGACCGTCTGCGCTGTAGCAAGAACCTTGGAACAAAATGCAACCAAGCTACTGCATCGGTGGCAGTACGTTGCAAATAAGCTTCCTGAAGATGTCATCATCATCGTGCCTGTAAGCAGAATCAATTCTAGTCAAGAAGGAGACAAAACAATCCAAGTTGCATTCGTTTCCTTATTTCTTGGTGAGGTTGACCAGCTTCTTCTGCTGATGCAAGACAGCTTTCCTGAGCTTGGTTTGGTAAAAGATGATTGCATCGAAAGGAGCTGGATTGAGTCTGTCCTCTCCACTGGTGGCTTTCCAATTAATGCATCCTTGGATGTGTTGCTTGATAGGACTCCTCAATCCATACCAAAATTCAAAGCAAAATCTGATTACGTTCAGGAACCTATGCCCGAAACAGTATTTGAAAGGATATGGGAACAGTTCTTTGAAGAAGACATCGAGACACCAGGATTGATCTTACTTCCATATGGTGGAAAAATGGATGAGATTTCAGAGTCTAGCACTCCATTTCCACATAGAGCTGGCAATCTATACATATTTGTTCCCACGGTGAGTTGGAGCGAAGAAGGCGAGGAGGCATCCCTGAGGCACTT